GACTGACAATATGAAGTGATGGATAGACTGATCCCAAAAGAAAGCCATTGATTAATTTCATGGCAACTTTTGAAAATAGTTTGGTGTTTCTTAAAGCTGTGAATTGTTTTGGTGAAATAAAAGACCAAGCTTGCACAAGATGAAAGACGTCATTGATGAAGTGTGACATCAAAATGTGCTTTAAATTGTAACCGACAATACGGTTAATTGCAAAGGCATAGAGCGATTATTGAAAGCATGTACCCTCATCTTTATTGGCTCCGTTTGTTGTCCACACGATTAATTTTGCTTTGAAGATTATTTGCGCGGCTAAGAATGTAGATGACAATGATACCACATAGGGTCAGTGTAGTTAGATTATTGAAGTTCATTATGATGTCGTTCATAATTTTTTTTTATTATCATGAACAACATGAAACTTGTCATCTTCACTCGATTTAGCCTCTTCAATTACTTTCAGTTGTTGATACTTTTTTTGCATCAATCATTGTGATGTTGAAGAGGTTTAAGCTAATTAGACGAGTTCTTCAATCAATGGTTATAAGTGATGAATGAATTTCATCCAAAGAGGACAACTCAGAGACTGCAAGTTTTGTGAAGGAAAAAAATTTAACTGATTAACGGTGGGATAAAGAGGAATATATTATTGAGTTCACAAATCCTATTTATGAGATGATAAAAAATTGCGATACTGATAAACCATGTCTTCACTTAGTTTATGAGATGTGGGATTCTATGATTAAGAGAGTTAAGCAAGCAATTCATAAAAAAGTTGACCTTTTATAGATTTTAGTCCATTGTATGATGTGGTTTTTGATATTTTGATCGCTCGTTGGACCAAGAGTACTACTCCACTTCATTGTCTAGCTAACTCATTAAATCCAAGGTGCTATTTAAGTTGATTATTTTTTACTACACCTTATTTTTTTATTGACATGTGCTACCTTTTAATATCATGTTACAACTTAAAGATTTTATAGCTATGGATGATGAATGTAGTTTCCAATAGAATAGCTTCTCATCAATATCTTAAAATTTCAAGAAAATGAAATGCTTTTGTAGGTTGTTTTCGAATAACGAGGAGTATAATAAAGTTCTTGAAGAATATGCACAAATTTCATTGAACACTGAACTCTTTGAAGATTTAACATCTCTTTCAATGAGATGCACCTCCTAGTCCTAGGAGCTGATGGGCTAACTTTGGTGCTGAAACTCCTCACCCACAATCTTTAGCATTTAAAATGCTTGGCGAGCCATCATCTTCATCATGTTGTAAACAAAATTGCAGTACATATTCTTTTATTTACTCATTGAGGAGAAATATGTTAAATCCAAGTCGTGCTGAAAATTTGGTTTTTGTTCATATCAATCTACATCTTTTGTCTAGAAGTTCTGGTCAATATGAAGAAGAAAATTCAAAGATGTGGGATAGGGTGGAGACTCATTTGACACTTACATTTACACTCTTATATTTAATATTTTAATATTTTTTGTTTCTAAATCTTTCCGTTCCTGCATCCTGTAATTTTTAAAAATGCTTATTTCCGTTTCCCTCCCCATATATGTACCTGCATCCGTCCCAGTGCAACTTAGGTCGTGGATAATAAACGACAATGCAATGGTTCGCTATGTGAAGTGGAGAGGCGAGGATGTGCCTTTTAGTGGGGCGAGATTAACAATTGCGTGATTTACAAGAGCTAGAAGTAGGCCAAAGTAGAACGAAGATGTTAATAGACAAGACATGGCTGAAGTCAAGTGGACCGAGGACATGACCATGGATATAGAGTTTTTGTAGTAGATTATGATGGGCGAGTTGTTGGTTGTTTAGTCTGTGCATAGTAATCAAGGCGTCGCCTAGGCGACACTTACGCGTCTGGGCGAGGTATTGTGGGTGCTCAATTGGTTGCCTAGCCTTTTCTTTCTTGGGCAACCGAGGCTTCAGTTTGGCGTGTCTTTGGCATTGGTTTGACATCTATTTGGCGTTGATTTGAGATCTGAATCGCAAGGAAGATCAGAAGTCCATAGGAATTGTCCGGACCTGCGATTTAGATCGTGAGGTCGTAATATCTATTGGATCGCGATTGACGGAGATCCCTTAGGTTTTGATCCGCGATCCTGAATTGTCTGGATCTACGCGACCCTTCGGTTTTGACGGAAATCCCTTAGGTTTATTATTTTTTATTTTTTTGTGAGTGAAACATACGGAATATGTGTTCTATGGAGTTTTTTTTAAGGAAATCTACTTTATATTTTTTTTAGAGTAATATGTTATCTATTCTTGTTTTCTACAAAGTATATACTAAGTAATGCATTTCATACCTATAAAATTAATTATTTAATCATATATGCTTTTACATCAGTATCAATAAAATTATTATGGTCACCATAGCCCACTTGCCCAGCGGACGCCTAATCGCCTAGGCGATTGGAAGGTACTCTAGCGCCCAGCCTCGCCTTGCCGCCGTAACAACTATGAGTGTGTGCCCTCTCTGGTTTGAGATGGCAAAACCTAAACATGCCTCAAGGCGCGCCGCCATAGAACTTTTTCGGAAATTACCGCCCTGGTGCGTATCCTGATTCACGCAATTAGCCATTTTTAGCAATTGGCTTAAACGCTTATGCCATGGGGCGTACACATTGGTGCACGTAATGAGGCGTACGCCATTTACCGTCTAAATATTATAAAATCAAAGGTTAAATTTGTCAATTACCCAAATTAAGTGTACATATTTTAAAATGACCTTGTCGATGACCTTAATTGCGACCCTAATTTCTGCGATTACCAACCTGTGATTCATCTTTTTCATAGCGTTGGCCCTCTCTGCTTCTCTATTTTCCGTCTCCATCGCGATTCAGCAGCAGGTACGATTACTTTTTTTTTCTGGCAAAAGGTGTACGAATGGATGATGGCTTGCAACTGGGTGATTTATAAGGTAAATTATTTTCTTGCTAAATTTATTTAATTGGTTTTTTTCGTGCTTATGGTTTTATGAAGGACTGTTCAATTTTTCTTGCTCACGGCTTTGCTTACGACTGGTAGTTTTAATTGGTGTTTTTTTGTTTCAAGCCATTGGACAGTGATGAACTTTTTTTCAATTCTTCAATTTAGGGGCTGTTTGTTTCAACCTCTTAATGATTCAGATGTCTGAATGGTTCATTACTTAATGGTTCAGACTGTTTGTTTTCGTGAGCAGATGTCTGAATGGTTCAGACATTTGCCTCTGAATGGTTAAGTATTATATAGAGTCTGAATGGTTAAGACCTCTTATCTGAATTGATCAGACATTTGCCTCTGAATAGTTAACCAATATACTAGCTCTTAATGGTTCAGACCTCTTACTGGTTCAGCACTTAATGGTCCAGACTCCAGACCTCACCTCTTACTGGTTCAGCACTTACCTATTCAGAAGTTGCCAAACAGCCCCTTAAGTTCATCACTTTGGCCAATATTTTGTCTTATTCCATGTTAGACTTTGTTGTGTTTGAGATGTATTACTTTGACAATATACTTTTTAAATGTTTCTGGATTATTTATGCCATACATTATGTTCTATCTTCAGTTTTTAAAATGTTTTATCACTTTTATGGACATTTTTCAATTTAAAAAATTGAGGCTTATGCCTCAAAACGCCTTGAGGCTTACACAATACGCCATGAAAAAAACGCCTCGAAACCGCAATATGTCATTTCGAACATTGGTTAGTCCTTCCATCTCATTCTCTCATGTTCAGTGGTTTTAAGGGTACAGGTAGATGTTTATTGGGTGTAAGTTAGGCATGCGTACATCTTACCCTCCTTAGACACCACTTGTGAGATTACATTAGGTGTCTAAGTTTGTTGTTATGATCTAGAATAGATTACTAATGACACATGCATAGGTCAACAAACACACTTTGGAAGCATCATAGTACAAACACACTTTATACACTCAACATAACTTACTGTTTTTGTTAGGAATTAATTATATAACACATTTTATAAACTCAACATCACTAATGACACATGCATTATGCATAGGTCAACAAGGTCATGATGGTGTTCACTCAAAGATGTCATTATATAACCAGAGGCAGACCCACGTTGAGTCCCACGGGTCCCAGGACCTCACAGACCTCCACGTAGGATCTTATATATATTAGGTACCCTGATTGTTTTAGTATATAAACAATCAAAGCCTAGTTGTAAACAACTCACGAAATAGTATAGTAGATGCGTCGCTGAATACTTAGAGGGGAGATCCACGGTTCGATTCTGATCTCTTCTATACTTGGATTTTTTATGCTCCTCACTTTTATCCTCAATTACTCTAAAAAACATTTTTAATGCAAAATATATTATTGGAGTTGGAAAATGAAATGAGAACCTCGAATCTACTAAAATCACCTCGATCTTTATACTTTAGTACAGTAATACACAAGAAATACAATGTTGATCTCATTCTCCATTGTTACAAGAAAACTTAAAAAACATACTTCAAAGTTTAAATTTATTTTGAATGTAAAATATTAAAACTTCAACCAGGTACTCTTTGCGGTTATTCACAAAATTGTGGGTATAGAGTATGTAAAGAGTTTACCATTTTTATTTGTCTTTTTACAAGTATTTTTTTCCCTAAAAAATACCTAAACAAATCTATTTTTCATTTTATTTGTATTCTTTTTACAATTTACTTCCATTTTTAAAGTGTGATAAATAAGGATTATGGTTATGTCTAAATCCTTTGTTCTAATTTGATGCTTTTGACAAAAAAATTATTATATCCAATTAGTAAAATTTATCTTTAAAAATTGTCAGATATAGAAGTTATGACTTTGAAAAATCCATTTGAGAATCATATTTTGAATGTTCATTTAAATAGTAGATTTTTTAGTTTATTTTTTATAGCGTGTGAATAATTACGTAGTATAAATGTATGTTTACAATTTAAGAAACGGCACCCCATGTTTCCCGATTCCTGGATCCGCCTCTGTATATAACTGTTCCTAAAATCAGTTTGTGCTGGGAATTGTAGGCTCGCATGGTTTCTATTGAATTATGTCCTCTTGGTCCTATACCTTTTGCGTGTTCATCATGTTGATCATGGTTGTGCTTTTGTATTTTAACGTTCGTGCAGGATTTCAGCCCCTTGAGGAGTTGTATTATAAGACTTGGCTCCACAGGTAAAACAGTTGCATCTCTTATGTTTAAAAGTCTTTTGGTGATGATTTATTTCACTTGGATAGATAGTACAATCATCATGAAATACTACTAATGTTTGGTATGATGTAATATATGCTTATCCAAAAAGTTTTACCACTATTTTGTTTTTAAACGTTGTATATGATCTTATAAGGATCATAATACGGAAGCATAGATAGGGAGCAGTGATATCAATGAAGCTTAATACGCTTGACATCATTTACACGTATTTGGCACCATTCTTTTTACAGATTTATGTTGTGAATGCAGTGGGCAGCGAGTTATTATACAGGAGATTATCGAGAAGCAAAATGAGTTTATAGAGAATGTACTCACTATTCAGGTCATTTGGCTCTGAAGTTTTTCTGAGATAAAATAATAATTGTGGACTCATTTGGTTTTATTTATTCTTTTGGCCAATTTTGATTCTTACAACTAGCTGTACAAGAATTAGCTGATTCAGGAGAATAAGTATTTGGTTGCTTCTAAGAATCACGTTGTGGTGAGCAGTAGCTAATTGTAGTTAGAATCTGAAAAAATTACAAAACGAACTGCTTTCAGCTGATTCTAAATATCAGAATCGCAGAACCAACTGAAAGAAATAAAACCAAATGAGCTCTCTCTCTCTCTCTCTCTCTGGTGGTGTGGTGGATGTGTGGCCACACAAGAATAGATAGGATTCAGAACGAGGTTACCAGAGGACGGGTAGGCGTGGCCCATGTGAAAGATAAATTACGAGAAGCTAGGTTAAGTGGTTTGGGTATGTGAGGTGGAGCGCTGACGCTTCAGTGCAGAGATGTGAGAGGCTTACATTGGTGGGTAGGAGTAGGGGAAGGGGTAGATCTAAGATGAACAGGAAGATGGTGATTAGACCTAGGACTTCTAGCCCTTACTGAGGATATGGCCTTAGATAGAAGTCTTTGAAGAGCTAGGATTAAGGTAGCTGGGTAGGTGCTTTAGGTTAGGTGATAGTTTTTGTACTTGTAGTTGTGTGGTTTGTATGCTTGGTGCTTTCTGCTCCCGGTGCTTTGCTTCTGTGCTTCTTTCTTTTTCTTCTTTAACATTAGTTTGCACTTCCCCCCACCCCCCTTATGCTTTGTGCTTCCCATGCTTTATGTGCTTTATGGGTCTTCTGTGATCCTATATTATCTTATGAGAGTTCTGCTACTTGAGCCGGGGGTGTCATGGAAATAGTCTCTCAACTTTCGAGTAGGATTACTAGATTACCTAATACAAAAAGCAAACATCATTATTAGGAAATAAACATAATAAAGAATATTAAAGAAACTCCTGGTCAAGCTGCATATTGAGGATTGGGCCGCGGCACGTGAGCTCTTTGGCGCGCTGCAGCCCTTCTTGAATATACAATGTAAATATTTCTTGTTGAGACTGAGTTATTGATGAAGTTGTAAAGAGCATCCACAATTGCTGTTAACTCCATCAAAAATTCAATCTCAACAAGAAATGGATACATTGTATATTTAAGCTCTGTTAACAGCAAAATGGGTCTATGAAAAGGAATGGGTTTAGATAAACATGTCTGTAAAAAATCATTCAGATGAGTAAATATTTCCCTTCCAAAATAACAAGTTCGAAAAAATCAAATCAATGAAGTTTAGAAAATAGCAAAAATATTAACCATAAGTATTGGCAGCCTCAAGATCCAGAGCTTTTTCCCCAGCAAGAGACAGTGGAACCACATTTGGCGCATCTTCTTCAACATGTGTCCCAGCTTCCAACGCCCCATCATCTACCTTGCCCATCGTACCCGCACCTGCCCTGCGTTCTTGGGGGGGCGTGCTTGCCCGCAATCTTGAAGGACCGTGCCTGCCCCGCATTCTTGGGGGCTCGCGCTTGCCCAACGTCATTGGGTCTCCTATACATTCTTGGGGCCTCGATCTTGCTGCGCATTCTTGGGGACTCGGCGTTTTTATAGAAAAAAAATTAAAAAGCATGAATATTAGTTAAAGGACTTGTAAGAGAAAGACAAAATTTCCTCAGTAATTTGGAGAAAAGATTAAAAAGCATTACATTTTGAGAAATTTGGATTTCAAACTTTATTTATTTTTCAAACACTAGAACTGAACTAGAATGTTTTAAATTGTAAAATTAATTAGGTTTCAATTGAATTCATGTTCACGTTCTCCAATTTGATTAGGTGTCATAAGTGCCTTTTCATAGGCCCATTTGTTTTTCTTTTGCAGTTTTGCCACTTATCTCCTTCCTATTATTTTCTGTTATTAGGGCTTATCACCAACAGGTTACTTATTCGCCACAAGCCCACAACTGATGATGGTCAAACATGGGAACTTCATCCAGATGGAAACAGGTATAATTTCATCTCATTTTTTGTTATCAGTTGTGTTTTTAAGAACTGACAAGAAATGTAGGTCCTCTATTCCGTTTGATAAAAATACCTCTTTGAGGACCCAAAGTCTGTACGAATGTACTAAAATTAATGTTTCAGCTTTAGTTAAAAATACACCCAACTTTATTTATCCTCAAATTCATATAGTTTCTTTATGGTTATTTTTGGTGTGGAGAAAAGAATTAATGAGCAGAGAATCAGTGATCTCATTTCTCTTGGTATACAAATTAGTACAAAGGCCCTATGTATATTAGCTAAATACAATGACTTATATGATGGCTTAAGCATTAACGATCTAAGCGTTGAAGTAATCTAAATAACTTAAGTAATGAAGCAATCTATTCTAGAAGCCTGCTCCTAACCACTTTTCATATCACCGCTCAATTTGGCTGAGTGCACTAATAGCAACTGAAATTTGCGTCATGATGATGAGATAATTCAGTTTTCCATCTAATCACCTTTATTTCCCTTTCCGATGGAGTGCCTCCCCCTGTCTTAGAAGAAGTTTGAGATTGGGTTCTGTAGGGGTATCCAATGGTCAACAGTCCAACCTACCTCTTTCTTTAAGAACATCCGAAACATATTTTCTTGGGAGAGAATGACAATACAGTTAAGATTTGGCAATCTCAACAAGTACCCGAGGTTTTCTAGATCTATAGTTTGGGATTTGCTAAATATATGTTCTTTGATCTGAGCAATGCCCTCTAGACCACTACTTGTAATGATAATATCATCAGCATTTACTACGACATAGATGCACTTGCTCCGACCAACAATTAACTTTATAGGGAGCATCCCCTGAGCTAGGGTTGTAAACAAATCAAATACTTTCAACTCGATTTGTGATTCGTATTCGAATATAAAGCTTCAAAGTTGCATAATTCAAATACAAATAAAGTCGTATTCGATTTGGATCATATTCAAGTATTCAAATAGAGTACTTATGTTGAATGTATAGGAGTGTAAGAAGCAATTGAAGTTAAATGAGTAGTTTTGCCTTAGCCAATTATTTATCCTAATCTAAAGCATTGTCCATAATGAGGTTCTACATCTTTTCTTAAATGCTTCCTCCGTCCTAAAAAATTTCTTCCGAGTGACTATTTATATGGTCAAACTTTAATAACATTTTTTTACCTATTTTCGTTAGTCATTTAATAAAATAATATAGTCATGTCACATCTCGTTTTGTAGAGCTTTCGATATAGTTTTTAAATATAATTATTATTTTTGAATTTTACACTATAATCAAATAAATTGAAATGAAAGTAACTTTAGTCAAATGCTGTAAACCAAAATGGGAAGAATGTTTTAGGACGGAGGTAGTACCTTTTTTCTGTTTAGTAGAACTGTAGAATCTTCAACACAGTCTTTTATATACTCCCTTTGTCCCCAAATGAAATTCACACTTACCTTTTTCCTCGTCTCAAAATAAAATTCATACTTCTCCGCTTCTCTTCTCAAGAATGGAATATGTGGTTCTTACTATTTTACACTTTCTTAAACTCTGTGAAGGCAAACCATGAGTTTAATTCAGGGAGTATTTATTTTAATGGAATAACTATAACTTCATACTATGGAACAAGTTATAAATAGCTATAGTCAAGCCTATCTCAATTGTGATAGAGATTATTTTGTGTAAATATGTTTTCTTTTTTTCTAAAGAACCAAACTATATATAGTTTCTGCATTGTAATTTCAAAGTTGTGTTTTAGAAAATCAATAATGTATCTCTGATTGCTACGAACCAATACTATACTTTTATATTAGGCTTGTTAAATTCCAGTTTTAGAACCCTTTTTGTTTTGTTGGCTTAAATGGCATCTTTTGTACTGCAGCTTAGACTTCTTCAAGGGACTTTTGAAAAGGAAACTAGGCTGACAAAGAACTAAATATCCTTCAGCACCTTTCACAGGTATTACTGATTCATTTACACTATGTTTGGTTCAAAAGTTTTGGAATAAAGGAAAACAATTTTGGTGATTGGTTAGAAAGTAAAAAAAATTGGGACGAAAAAAAGGCAAGGAAAATGTAATATAAAAATATAAATGTTGTTTTACTTCCATTTTTTGAGGAAAAAGAGAAAAATACCGAACTCCACACTCCCCTTCCCTTCCCTCATCCCCCACCCTCCCCCCGCCGCCTCCCATCCTCCTCCCTCGCCCCCCCAACCCCCACCCCTGATCTCCCCCTTTCTTTGAACAATATCTTTTTTTTTCTCTACAAGAATCAAACAAAGAATTTAGAGTAAATTCCATAAAAGGTCTCCAATTATTTTATTATTTTCCACGAATGGTCTTTTGTTAACACTTCTGTTAAAAATATGGATAAAATTGTAAATTCACGCTCCTCTCTCTCTTCAATTAAGCTTCCTCTCTCCTCTTGCGCTATTTCCCAAATTCGTCGCTGAGTTTGAAGGTTTGAACCCAAAACCGAAATCATCCCTCCTCTCTCAATTGTTCGTCTTCCTGGTGGAATCTAAAATCAAAACGAGTAACCTTCATAAATGCGTTTTAATGTTTGCTTTCTTTACAATTTCTTGAGACTAACCCATAAAATTTATTCATGAAGGTTATTGGTTTCGATTTTTGGTTCCACCAGGAAGATGAACAATTGAGAGAGGAGTGATCGTTTTGGTTTTGGATTTAGAGCTTCAAACTCAGCAGCGGGTTTGGGAACGAGTATGGGAGGAGGGAGGAAGCTTAATTGAAGAGAGGAGTGTGAATATACAATTTTATCCACGTTCTTAACAGAAATGTTAACTAAGGACTATTTGTGGAAAAGAATATAATAATTGGGGACTAAATTATTGATATTTAATATGTAGGGACTAAATTTGTAAAATGACCTATAACTGGGGACTTTTTATGAAATTTACTCAAGAATTTATTTAAAAAATGTCTCACCAATTTCCCTACAAAGAACCAAGATTAAGAATTATGGTTTCTTTGACTTTATTTTCCTTTCTTTAGGGTTATTTCCCTTTCTTCCATAATTCCCTGTACCAAACATAGTGTTAGTGTGTCTATTTTTCAGATAGTCTGGTCCACAAGTTGAGTTCTTGCCGTGCAACCTTGAGATCGTTCGTGTCCTCAAAGCATTCTTACAAAAATGCCGAGTAAAGTATGATGGTGTCATCCTAATTACGCTAGTGTTATTAGGATGACCGCATCCAAATAAAATTTTTATTCGATTGTGATATTCTAATAAAAATTTGATTTGATTATGACAATATCCTAATAAAAGTTTGAATGTTTACATGGGATTCTCTTTTATTAGGATGTTATCATAATGGAATCAAAATTTGTGTGATGACATGAACATTCAAATCAAATGTTCCTTTTGACACATTTTCCATTCAAAATATTTACTAGATTGATCACGATTATTATTAGGCTCCGTTTGGTACATGGAATTCAAACTACAGAATTCGAATTAGGGACAACAATTCCAATTTTAATGTTTGGTAGCACAAAAATATGTAGATTTGGAAGTAGTAGCGCTAAAAAATGAACTGGAATTAGAGAATTCAGTTCCACCCAAATCAATTCTATAGAATTCCAACCTCTAAATTAAATCCAATTCCATCAATTCGGTGTACCAAACGAACCCTTAGTGTGGGGTGATATCCACTCCATACTTTTGTCTTTTTAAAAATAACCACACCAATTATCAGGAAATTATCAGGCTCTAGATATTTACACTCCAAAAATTACTAAAGACACCAATCTTTTTCTTCCAAGTGACTAAAATGACGGTTCTACCATTCTATTCTATTATGCTTGTTGATTTTCATCAATTGTTTTTTTTATTGTTTTGCCCTTTTTTTAATATTTTATTTCAAATTTTCTCCTTTTTGATTAGATTTTAATGTTAGTTTGCATTCATCTCTTTTACTCCGTAATAAATTGTACCCAAAAAAACTTGTCTTATCAATTTTTGTTTGTAAGAAATCGTTTCTTGTCCCGAAATTAAATCTATTTTTTATATTATTAGATCGAATTCATTTTTAATTCTAATTATTTCAATACTACTCTAAAATATTTACGTGGTTAAATATTTTATAAAAATTGACAATTCATCCATTTCAAAAAGTAATTCTCATTTTCACTTTTTTTGTATACAAATATAATGATTACGGGGTAAAAAAGATGAATGGAAAGTTGCCAAACAACATATATAAAAATCTAATACTCCACTTGGGGAGAGGCGTGAAGCGTGATTTGCTGTGGCAACGCTACATAGGTGCGCAGTGCGCACTACCCCCCTTCCCCGTATGTGAATGCTATGTGTTACAACTGTGTGATTAGTAATGGGGTCACGGCCACATATGGAGAGGAGTGATTGTGACTTAGGGGTTGTTTGTTTCAGTCTCTTAATGGTTCAGATGTCTGAATGGTTAAGAGATTTGCCTCTGAATGGTTAAATAGTATACAAAGTCTGAATGGTTAAGACCTCTTATCTGAATTGATCAGACATTTGCCTCTGAATAGTTAAGCAATATACTATTCAGAAGTTGCCAAACAGCCCCTTAGATTTTACTTCCTCCGTCCCATAATGTTTTACCCATTTACTATTATGGTCTCTCGATAATTCTTATTTGTTTGCGTGATTTCATTGATTATTGGATAAAATAACATATTCTTGTCACCTCTTGTTTTGTAGAGTTTTCGATGTAGTTTGTAAATATAATTTTTTTATTTTGTATTTCTTTACCGATTTGTAAATAAGATCATTTTAAAATTCACGGGGGTTTTGCACGTGGATCGAAATGGGTAAAAGATTATGGGACAGAGGGAGTATTATTTAAGGAAAAAATTATATTGAATAATTCCAACTTTACTCATTCTGTAAAAAAAATAATTTCATCTTTCACTATGATGCATAATAATCTCAACTTCACTGAAATTTGTGAGTTTTGTGTCGCTTTTCAATTGCTGACGACAGGTTAACACAGATTTGTTATGCACAACAAAATAAAAATTGAGATTTTTTTTTTTTATGAATTTTCATTTTTAATATGTAATTTTTTAAAAAAAATTCTCTTAAATTAATAAAGAGTCATTTCTTTTTCTTTTTTTAAAGATTAGCCATACATCCGAAAAATTCTAAAAAATAGATATAAAAAATATCGAAGATGAGAAAAAAACTAAAATCATACAAAACAAATGAAATAAAAATAGAATCAATAAAAACTAATCTCAAACAGAAAAGATATAAAACTAAAAACATATGGAGTGGTGGGTTCTAACGTTGTAGGCACTATATGAAGTACTAATGTATTGCTTCTCCCATTGGAAAAAAATGAAAATTAAATAAAAAAAATAAAAAATAAAAAAGTATGTTCTTATTAAAACCTTTTTTTTGAACGTATCTTATTAAAACCTTTAGTTATGTCTTACTAAGAAACATATTTTTTATTTCTTTGGGGTTTTAATAGGAAGATAATTTTTTATTTTTTATTTTTATTTTCAAATTTGACAAAAAAGAAGTGATACATTAATGATTTTTATTTCTTACTAGTTTAAGGTTAGTTTTTATTGGTTACCTTATTTATTTCATTAATTTTGTATAGCTTTAGTTGTTTTTATCATTTTAATTATTTTTATCTACTTTTTATTTTTTCTTAGGTCAGACTAATCTTAAAAAATGGACTCCTTTTTATTTTTTCTTAGGCAAAAAATCACGAACTATAAAGAATATAAAAGCCTTTTTTTTTTATTTTTTGGTGTTGCTAAATCTACATCGAGAATGAGTGAATGATTATATGCACACCTTTCCAAAATTTGCCAAATCCACACTCATTGATGGGAAACTCTATTGATAGGAGTAAAAAATCATAAAATTATCAAAATATTAGTAGGGGTAGTAAGTCTTTTAGGACAATAATAAGAGTTTACACTGCATTGTTACATAGCTACACTAACTATATTGTCACATTATAACTACCACACTATCAATGCCGCACTGCCATTTGTCACTGTCGGCCACTGGAGTGCCACCGAATATCACCAACAGTTGATTGATCATACTGACATATTACAATGTCATCACTTTTCCATCATACTACCAACGCCCACTCTCACAGCACAATGTCATTATACTCCTATTTTGTTCTAAAAAGGCTTAGAACTCCTATTTTCATATTTTCATACTTTTTTACACATATCCAGGGAGATTTCTTTTAGGGGTGGGTTCGGTTTTTGCGGTTCGGTTTTTACCCAAAACCAAAGACAAAACGGAAGGTAAGTTGGCGGTTCGGTTTTGCATAAAAAATATGCAAGCCGTTGGTTATTCAGTTCGGTTTTATGCGGTTTTTACTTCGATTTTTTTCGGTTTTTTCGGTTTGTAAAAGTAAATATTTATAAGCATTAAAAATTGTATAAATACTAACTCGACGAAGCAATAACAATACGTAAGTTTGGGTTTGGTTTTTTTGCTTGACTTTTACACACAAAAAAAGCCGAGCGGAAGGTTAGTGTTCTCATTGGTTCAATTTTATATACAAAATATGTGTCAAGTGTCTAACAAACATCTAGAAGATTCTAAATAATCTTAAAGNTTCATTATAACATCAAAGTTTTTTTTATTTAAATATGTTAACTACTCATTTTAATTTTTAATATTATATAATTCTATATTAGGATTAGTTATTGGTGTTTATATTCTTAGATTTTTTAAAGTTTATAATATGATTAAAATGTTTAATTAATAGTTAAGAAAAAACTTTAATTGACTAGTAATTTATTTGCATTTTTGTTTATATGATTTTTATACATATCACATATACTCATATAAATAAAATGAAGCATATAAATAAGTTCGGTTTATTCGGTTCGGTTCGGTTTTTCAAAGTAAAAACCAAAACGGAACCAAACAATAACGGTTCGGTTCGGTTTTTTACATTCGGTTTTGGTTTTTTCGGTTCGGTTTTTTTTCTAGCTCGTTTCGATCGATTTCGGTTCGGTTTTCCCGACCCAGCCCTAATTTCTTCTCATTGATATACATTTGATATTGGTGGGAATCAAGACATTTATGCAAATGGTGTGGATATAGTATATTGGGGATGGATTAAACACTTCGTTAGAAGACACCGACTCAATTGAGACATCTACCGTGCTCTATTTGTAAAAATTGATATTTCACACGGCCGACCATCAAATGGGGGGTGGGGCTCTTCGAACTTGACTCCATTGTCCTTAACATCCAACCATTGCTCTCATGGGAATTTTAAGTGAAAGAGAAGTGGTACAAACCTAAGAAAGGAAATTTTTTTACCTCAAAATCTGTGCAATCAATTTATACGTATTGTTCCATTTGATTGTAATGTCATCGGCAACTGTTTTTGTTTTTTACCGTAGATTTTCAGCAAGCCTTCTATGCATTTGAGTTTAATCGACTACCTCAAATCAATTTTAATGTTGGTCAAAACTTCCCATAGTCTCTAATCTCTGTTGAACACACAAATTTAAAACATGACATGCGTACATTTAGTGTAGAAATTTACTCCTAGCGCTATTAGGGGTAAAGTTGTATAAGTCTAAGAATGACAACAATATTATTAGGAGACACTGGGAGAAGGATAGGAATATGAAGGATAAAGAAGAAAGATGCAAGGGAGTAGCATAACAGATGAAGGAGAAAAGATCCAAAAATTTGGATTTAGGGCAAACGGAAAGAGAGGGAGTATATTTTGGTTAAAGGGTAAAGGTAACATGTTAGCATTAAAAAAAATGTCAAAAAAGAAAACGGAAATATAATTTGTGGAAGAACCAAAAAGGAAAGTGTGAAGATTAAAAATCTACGAAGAAAGTATGATGAAAATACAATAATATAATATATCTAAATTTATAAAATACTAACTCAAATACCACAAGGATAGATTTTTTTACTCCAAAAATTTTCTAACATTTTATATCTCTTTCTATTTTTTTTACATCCAACTTTAGAATTTAATAGAAAAAAAAGCCCTTATTAGAAGTCGGGGAACAAGCTATGAGTTTATTTAGGCCATTGGGCTGTGTTTAATTAACTTAATGGGCACGATTTACCAAGAGTTGTGTACGGATGTACAATACCAACTCCCCACTCGGCCCATTAACTGGCATAACCAGACTCCGGTTAATGAAGAGCACAGCTTCGGTTTAGCTTAAGGTTCTAAATGAATCAAATATTTTTAGTTCGGTACGTGATTCGTATTCGTATAAGGTGATTCATATTCGATTTTTTCAAACCGAATACGAAAACGAATCTGAATAAATATTCGAATCTTTATCGAATACGTCAAGGGTATTCGATTCGTGAGTTTGACAAATATATTCGAAATATAAATTTAACTATACAAATAACATATATATATATATATATATATATATATATATATATATATATATATATATATATATATATATGTATGTATGTATGTATATATATATATATGTATGTATGTATGTATGTATGTATGTATGTATGTATGTATGTATGTATATATATATATATATATATATATATATATATATATAGCTATTCATTAGATTAACGACCCGATTCTAGTGACACCGGAGAACGGTGCCACTAGCAGTGCTACTGGGGTTTTGAGGCACCTCCGATGCTGCGTTCGTAAAATTGACGGTTCCTACCATCCTAACCCACCCTTAAACCCCCCACCCCTGCACCCCCACCCCCGTAACTCCCCTACAAAATTTGTGGCTATTATGCAATGCAATGCATAATAGCCACACATTTTGTGGGGGGTTACGGCGGGGTTGGGGGTTTAGGGGGTGGGTTAGGGGGGCTAGGAATCGTCAATTTTACGAACGTAGCACCAGAGGTGCCTCAAAAACCCAGTAGAACTACTAGTGGCACCGTTCTCCGGTGTCACTGGAACCGTACCGTTAGATTAAATGGTTATAAAATATTTTAAAATCTAAATAAATCGAATATTTTTGAACGAACAGAATATATTTAAAAGAACCGAATCTTTAAACAAACTGAATATGTTCTGATGGGTAATAACCCAAGGATACCACCCGGTTGGTTCACCGAACAGCACGCGTCTTTCTCAGACCGGGTTATTTGACCGGTTGGATGGGGAGACCAGACGCCAATCCCCGAAAATCTACTTTCAAAGTGCACCTGGTGGGCCGGTCAGCCGCCTGACCGGTTGGATAATCAGAGACGTGCTTGACGTGCTTAGGATTATTATAAATACCCCTAAAAGCCTCATTTGTGAGGCATGCTTTAATTAACCTGTACGCCTTGTATTTGTAATAACTCCTATTATCATTAATAACAAATCGGGTTACATGTGTTTCCACCTACAACCCTTCCGATTACTAATCTAAACGGTTAAAAATCTTAAGTTGAAGAGAATATAGGAGAAAAACACTTGCAATAATATTTAAGTGTCTTACAAAAGTGCCCGGAGGCAGATCATTACACGGGAAGTAAAAAAAATATATATAATAAAAGATAAGGCCAGGGGAGTCAGATTCCCGGGAATGGAGGGACCGGTTCCTCGTCGTGCAGATTGGGCAGAGATAGAGCCTTGGGACGAAATCCTTGGATTCGCTGCTCAAGGATGCTATAGAGGGCCCGCCGCTCCGTGTACTGACCGCTCTCGTAACCAAAGGTTCCGATCTCATCCACGATCCCGGCCGACACCTTGTGCTTGTACAGGCCTTGGAAGAAGTGGATGGCGGTCTCCCGATCAGGAAGCGCTTGGGCAACAAACTCCTCAGGCGCCTGAACAGCCCATGCCGCAGCCAGAGAAGCCCTTTCTGAGCGCTCTTTTTCCAGCTCATCTCCAAGCCGGGCGATCTCCTCAGCCGACCGAGCATTTTCAGCCTCCAGGAGCTGGATCTTGGCCTGGGCTTGGTCATCAGCATCTTTCGCGGCCTTTAGAAGTCCGTCGTGCTTGGCGTAGAGTTGGCGGTAGACCGCGCAGTGCTCTACCCATTTGGCCTCCATCATCTCCGCATGGGCGCGGGCAGCCTGGGCATCCTTCCTGCATTCGACCAGCATAGCCTCCATCCGGGCCTTCTCCTCATCTTTTGACTTTACCAGCCGGGCAAAGTACTCTTCACCGATCCGGCCGACCTGCTTTAAACACATGAAAAATTTTAGAAACATGGCAGAGGCAATAAGAAAACGGTTAAGAAAAAAAAGAGAGATTACCTCACTCAGGTCAGCACGGAAAGCTTGAAAAAGTTCTTCGTTCGACCGGGACATCAGTACCACAGATCGAGGCACGATGGGTCCCTTGCCAGCGTCGGAGGACTGGGGCCCTGATGGGATGGCTGGTTGACCTCCTCGGTCTTCCGCCTCTTCCGCTGAAGGGACTCTCCAGCAGCCTCTTCTTCGCCATCATCCTCATGGGGTTGAGAGGCATGGCCGGTTTCCCCCAGCATGTTATCGAACTCCAGGGTATCTACGTTGATGTAGAGCTCCCCCAAATGTATGGGCTGGCTGGTCCCCTGGTGGGATTGGGCCGACTGCTCCTCCAGAGAGAGAGGCTGGCTGGTTGGGGGGTTGAGTGGCCGAGCAGTGGAGGGTTCCTCAACTGCGATCTGGGGGATGGCAAATTTCGACTGGAACTTCACCACTGCAAGAAAAGAAACCGGTTAGAAGAACAGCGATATAAAAAAAGAAAAAATGGAAGGAAAATAAGGGTAGTTGATTGACCTTTCTCTTTCTTCTTCTTCGCCGGGCGTGAAGGACCGGCGGTGGCTGTGGCCAGGGCTTTGGATCCCTTCGCCGGGTTGATGGGGATGGCTTCGGGGATCACCCCAGTCAGGACAATCTCCGGCTCAGGGTCAGTCTCCCGGCCGGGGTAGACGCTCCACTTCCCGACATGGTAAAGACCGCGGGTGGAGGCATCCCCGGCCCGGAGAGTGGTTTCCCAGGCAACCAGGTCATCGGCCTCTGTTGGTTTGACCTGGCGCTTCATTCTTTTCCCCCAGACATTTTGGGCAAAAGGAAAGGCAGCCGGGGGGAATTTAATGCAGACGTATTTGTCCTTCCACCTCTTGTTGGAGGGAGGAAGGCCACAGAGAAATGCCTGACCTTGGTGAGAAGACACCACCACGAATCCAAGGGTCTCCTTGGACCCGGGCCGGACATCGAACATGTGGTCAAAGAGACGAAGGGAAAGAGGAATACGAAGGAACCAACAGACATTGATGAAGCTGCCCAACAAACGGTGACCATTAGGGGCCAGCTGCCCGGGCATGATACCGTATGTTTCAAGGAAAAGGACTTTGAATGGGTGAATGGAGAATTCGCCCAGGTCCTTGATTGAGTGGTAATGGATACCAATCGACGTACCGGCGTGGAGAGGAATAATGCTCTTCCACGTTGCCCGGTAAGTTAATTGGTACCCGTCTGACATCAGGTTGCGCACCTCGTGGACCTGGGCCTTCTGCATGACCGACGATTGCGTTTGAAGCAACCGGTCGTCCAGCAGAACGAAGCCCTCATCCCCAGGTTGGGCAACCGAGATCACTTGCGCCACGGAAGAAGAAGGAGCACAAGTGGAAGCATCAACCGGCTTCTTCTGTGGAGAAGTAGCCGGGCGCTCAGAATCAGAGGATGAAGAAGAGGAGGAACCGGAGGTCTGAGCCCGGTCACCAGAACCGTAAGAATGGGCGGAAGGGTTCTGGCTGTCTTCGTGGTCAGACATGACTCGAGGAAGAAAAAAGAGACTTACTTGGAATAAGAGGACTCGGAGGACTCGGAAGTAGTAGAAGCAGCCGGGCGGTTTTTTAGATCGAAGATTTGCAAGTGAAGAAATCCTAGGGAGGACATCGCTTTATATAGGAGAGAGGCCGCCCAAACGGACAAACGAAACAATGACACGTGGCAGCTGAAATGATTTGCCATCATAACTTCTCGGGGAGACGAAACGGCACAATAAATTGGCGGCTCCGTACCCGACTTCGAGAAGATTCTCCCGCTTTGGACACCCGGTTTTTGGGATTTGAAATTCAAATTTCAAATTTCAAATATTTTGGGTTGGCGCTGGTTTTTCGAGACGATTTTCCCGCCAAAAAGCGACTGGACAGTTCAAATTCCGGGAAATGATCGCATGTGTTTCCCGCCCCTGATGGTCCCCACAGAACCGGAAATCGGAGGACTCCTTGATGGGTAATAACCCAAGGATACCACCCGGTTGGTTCACCGAACAGCACGCGTCTTTCTCAGACCGGGTTATTTAACCGGTTGGATGGGGAGACCAGACGCCAATCCCCGAAGATCTACTTTCAAAGTGCACCTGGTGGGCCGGTCAGCCGCCTGACCGGTTGGATAATCAGAGACGTGCTTGACGTGCTTAGGATTATTATAAATACCCCTAAAAGCCTCATTTGTGAGGCATGCTTTAATTAACCTGCACGGCTTGTATTTGTAATAACTCCTATTATCATTAATAACAAATCGGGTTACAGGTGTTTCCACCTACAACCCTTCCGATTACTCACACTTAGTATTTGTGTGGTAATTTACACCATCATGTTCAATATATTAAACGAACCGAATATGAATCTTAAAAAATATTCGAACAGAATTCGAGTTCGAATATAACTCTATCTTAGGGAATACTAATATTATTCAATTTAAGCTTTGCTCAACGTCGTCCAGGTTCATCCCCCTCTTGCGCGACTCTTTCTGAATTCTCACTCAGGTAACATCTATTCCTCTCCTCTGTGGTTCGCCCCCAAACCTTTGGCTTGTCCATTATGGGACTAGGGTCGGCTGATTTGTTTTCGGTGTTTATTTTCCTTCACTATTTCTCTATCTGGCAGTTTGGCTTGATATTTCTGCTGTATTCACAATAGCATGCAATGACTCTGTTAAGTTCTTTTTGTTATGTTACTTAAATTATTGTGTTTTTGAGTTGGGTGATTTGGTCAATTGCTAGACTGAGATCATTTTTTTACTGGAAGGAGAAAAGTTCCAATTTTTTTATGATATTAATGCATCAAAGTCCATAAAATGAATATGGACCTTAAGACCACGTAAGAACTTGCTTACAATGTAGACCCTATTTTTTGGATTTGAATTTCAGAGTTGGATATTGGAATAAATTGAAGGAGTTGGAAGAAACTGGAAAGAGTTGAAAAATGTTGGATGAATTAAAGTGTTAAAAAGTCATTCAATTAAATGATCATCCAAATAAATAAGTAAGAAGACTAATTTTGGATATAAAAAGGAATCCATCATTTTCTGTATTTGAGGTGATGTGTTATGAATTTAGATATATAATGTTATTGTATATTCATCTTAGAGATCGTCTAAAATGACACCAGTTACTTATACACCAGTTCGTTTGGGGTACTTACAGTGCTCCATTTATAAAAATGACAGTTCCTATCCCCCTATTTGAGGTGATGTGTTATGAATTTAGAAACTATGGCTTTCCCAATTAGTGAATGATAAAGAATCAATGCCCCCATTGGGATCGAAGCTATGACGTATTTGGGAAAGCCATAGTTTTGCTACTAGACCACGAGGTCTTTGGCGAAATTTCATTTTTGGGATTTAGGGGATTCCCCCCCTAAGAGAATAACCAACCAAGTGGAGATGTATGTGTATTGCGCTAATCTGGTAATCTGTATATCTTGAAACACTGGTTCCAGTTGAATGTCCATAGCGATGGGAGGAGTGGGAGGTCCTTTGTTAGGCCTCGGTGACATTGGAGAAGAGGGGTGCAATAGCAACAATGATTCTAAGTCTACTTTCAGACCTTCAAATCACCCCAAGCTCTTTCAGGTGCCTTCCCAACCCCTATGCTTCACGGTTGATTCACTTTTCCCTGTTTCGACATGCATACATAGGATTTGTTATTTTTTTTTGGAATGAGTTCAGCAAAATGAATCAATTTTTATTCCATCCCTTGAATGTGCCCTTTTTAAAATTCCTTTAGGCCCTGTTTGGTACACGGAATTCAAATTATGGAGTTGGAATTGAAGACTTCAGTTCTAATTCTGATGTTTGGTAGCACAAAAATTATGTGGATTTAGAATTGATAGTGCAAAAAATGAATAGGAATTGGTAGAATTCAATTCTATGGAATTGAATCCAATGGAATTTCAATTCCAATTCCATCAATTCTGTATACCAAACGGACTAATGGTGATTCTTCTTGTGTTCCATTACTTCCATATCTCATACATAGAGGTAGACATGGGCTGTGCTTAGGCGCGACCCAATCTGATAAAGTAGGCCTCATATTTTGACTAAGCTTGCCCACAAAAAAGTTGTCACAAAGGGTCAACCCAAGGCCTCTTAAATATCTGCTTATTGTAATTGCTTATTTCGAACACCTTCACATTTTTGTCCCCGCTAACAAGATTCTCTTTCCCATTTACAGAAAATTGTGTCTTTTACTCATAAATTAAGCAATTAAGCATTAATTAAACAGATTACCTGTTAAAACAAACACAACACACTTAGTTTTATTTGAATAATCACACTTTTATCCCTCAAAAGCAAAAAAAAAAACATTTTTTGAAAACTCTCCCGATGTGACTATGATCTTCTACACTATGAATTCAAAAAATGTAGGTCACCCTGAAATCATATTTAAAACTGTGTCTTGTTTGTGGTTGATAAATATATATTTTTCAATGTCCAGGTTGCGAAGCGCTTAGAGAAGTTTAAAACCACAATTTTTACTGAAATGAGTATGCTTGCCATCAAGTATGAAGCTATAAACCTTGGCCAAGGATTCCCCAATTTTGACAGTCCTGAGTTTATAAAAGAAGCAGCTATTCAGGCCATCAGAGCTGGTAAAAACCAATATGCTCGAGGATATGGTGTCCCTGACCTCAATGCTGCTGTAGCTACACGGTTTAAGAAAGATACTGGCCTTGATATTGACTCAGACAAAGAAGTGACTGTCACCTCTGGCTGCACCGAAGCCATTGCTGCAACAATGTTAGGCTTGATAAATCCTGGGGATGAGGTCATACTCTTTGCTCCTTTCTATGATTCTTATGAAGCTACCTTGTCAATGGCTGGAGCTAAGATAAAGTGTGTTACTCTACGCCCTCCAGATTTCTCTGTCCCCCTTGATGAGTTGAAATCAGTTATTTCAAAAAACACCCGTGCAATCCTCATAAACACACCCCATAACCCAACAGGGAAAATGTTTACCCAAGAAGAACTCAATGTCATTGCCTCCCTGTGCATAGAGAATGACGTTCTGGTTTTCACTGATGAGGTCTATGACAAGTTAGCGTTTGAAATGGAACACATTTCAATGGCTTCTCTTCCAGGAATGTATGAAAGGACTGTTACAATGAATTCATTGGGGAAGACATTCTCACTTACAGGCTGGAAAATAGGCTGGGCGATCGCTCCCCCACATTTGACATGGGGAGTGAGACAAGCACATTCGTTTCTTACTTTTGCTACGTCTACCCCAATGCAATACGCTTCTGCAGTAGCCCTAAGAGCATTGGATTCTTTTTATGTGGATCTTAAGAAGGATTACTCAGCGAAGAAGGCCATATTGGTGGATGGGTTGGAGGCTGCAGGCTTCACCGTGTATCCATCAAGTGGGACTTATTTTGTGATGGCGGATCACACACCTTTTGGGATGAAAGACGACGTTGCATTTTGTGAGTATCTAATAAAAGAGGTTGGAGTCGTAGCCATTCCAACTAGTGTTTTTTATCTAAATCCTGAAGATGGAAAGAATCTTGTTAGATTTACTTTCTGCAAAGATGAGCAGACACTAAGAAGTGCAGTTGAGAGGATGAAAGAGAAGTTATCCAAGAAATGAAAAGAAATAACCAAACAGGTATTCTTGTATTCTTTAGTTCACTACATAGGGAAATACTACGCTGTCCACATGTATCACCCTTCAATACATGGCATCTTAACAAAAGGAATATGATATTACATTTTGTAGTATTTGTTATCCCATTTAACTAAACCTAAATGTTCCTTGTTTCAAAATAAATAAACTAGGACAGATAAATATAATGAATATTTTAGTAAAAAATGCTTAGGGTACACCATTTTGTACCCCAGTTTGCACACCACTCCAGCATACACCATACATTTTTTAGTTGTCACAAAAGCATCTGTGGCTGTCACAGTGACTCTCTGATAACACAGTAATACTCCATCCATTTCAAAAAGAGTCATGTATGCTGTATTGTTTTGCTCTTTTTGATATTAGAAACATTGTCTTTTCTCAGGACAGGTTTATTTAAACACAAATACAAAGTACCTTTTTTCTCTAGAAAATAAAAATAAGTTTTGCTTATGGGAATAAAGTATAAAATATATGCTCAAATGCATTACTTTGAACAAAATAATTATCAGTCTTTAAGTTGTCTCACCAAGCTATGGTATCAAAAGAGGCCTGCATATATATTACCTTTTGTATTGGTTACCCGAATACGTAGTACAATACAACAACAAACTAGTTGGATCCCACTAGAGTAGGGTCAGTATGGTCCAGGGAAGGTGTGTACGTAGACCTTGCCCTACTTGAAACTCGAGAAGCTGTTTGCAAGAGGCCTCCTGCTCAAGCAGCACAGGTAATATAAGATCACAGAAGACACATAAAAGAGAGAAAGCACAAAGAGGCAAAGAAAAACTAATGTTAGCGAAGGAAAAGCACACAACAAAAAGTGAAGACTTGTTCTAATACAATATGATTCCATATTTCCGTTTTTTGCTATATTACACCCTCCATCCCTCAAAAGGGTGGTATATAGTAAGACTTGTACTTTACTAAATAGATGAATAAGTCTTTATCTAGCGATGGAGCATAAAGAAAAACATGAACTTTTAAGATGCCGGGTTTATGATTATAGTATTTTACTTGTTTTAGATGATGCGATGATTGTATTCTTAGATGGGGAAATGATGTGACTTCCTCACATTAAGCTGACAAGAATGTTTTGCAGGCACCGGAGGAACAACAGGCACCGGGTTTATGATTATAGTCTTGTATCACTATTGCTGCTTCTATTTAGTGTTATTAGCTGTCAATTTTCTGGTTACTGTTATCCTTTTTCTGCATCAATATTCTTAGGGGGTTTTACCATTGGCAGTTACTGAACAATATTTTCTTGGCGGGACAATTAAACTATTTTGTGATGGGATTCCTCTTGTTGTTATGATTGTTGTTACCCCTGATGCAGCTACTTCGCAAGTCTATATACCCTTCTCTATAGAACTTATAACCAAGTGTTTTTGTTTGGCTGGAAGAATAAGCAACAATTGTTTTTTTGAATTTCTATTAGCTTTGGTTGCTTTATCACTATGTTTGGTTCTTGAAATTTGAAAGGGAAAAGAAAAGAAAAATGGAGTGGAAAATAGTTTTTCTTGTTTGGTTAGAGAGGAAAAGATGAAAAATGGAAAGAAAAGAAAGTGAGAAGGCAAAATGTACCAAGTGGAGAGAAAACCAAATTCTTCTCATTTTGGTGAGAAAAATGAGAGAAAACTATTTTCTTTTCCTTTCAAATTCCTTGAACCAAACATAGTGTGTGTATTTCTCTTCAGGTTGCTGTTTTCTCATATCAATAGTTTATTGCACTACTAGCACATTGCTGTCGAGAAATACGCATTTTGAATAGCCCATAATATGGGCTGGACATGGGTCCAGTTCCGAACCGGTACCGGAACCGGCGGTTCCAGCACCTGGTCCAACGATGTCGGTAGGGGTGGGGGTAAGGGAAACGACACTGGAATCGGTGAACACGGTACTGGTTTCGGGGAAGAGGGTGACGGTTCTGTAGAACAAGAGTTTAGTTATAGCGGCAACATTTTAACCGATCATTGGAGTTCCTTTAGCGCTGAATTGCTTGAGACAGACACTTGTTTGCAATTGAGATTGGCTCTATACAAGGCGTCAAGCACAAGATGTAGACTACGACATGGATACGCAAAATTACATGGACGCAACCATGGGGGAAAGTGGTAGTCCGACGAATAACTTGGTTTTTTTCTTAAATTGTACTACCTCCGTCCCTGAGTATTTGCCCAATTTTAATTTTTTTTTGGTCAATTTTTTTCAACCTTTGACCTATAATTAAATAAAATATATACTCCCTCCGTCCCCATATATTTGTCCACATTTGACTTTTGGAACTGTTCATCTAAGCACTTTGACTCATCAAATTCTCTCAATGTGTAAGCCTAAATATAGTCATGTGTGATCTTGTTTGATTTGTCTTAACATATAGATTATTAATATATAATTTTTATAATTTTTTAATATACAAATTACAAGATAAAATGGATTAAAGAATTGCATTGGATTGTGTGCAAAAATGAAAGTGGACAAATACAGGGGGACGGAGGGAGTATTAGATATTAATCAGATAAAATAATATTTTGAAAATATTTGATATAATAAATCAAATAAAGTGAATTTTGTATCAATATCAAACATGATTTTTATTTAATTTCCGGTCAAAGTTAATCAATTTTATCCAAAAAAGTCAAAAGTAAACGAATATTCATGGACGGAGGGAATAGTGAGTTATTTATAAGTTTCTTCAGTGATTTCTTTATAGTTCTTTACGTCGCCGCTTTTTTTGAACCATTAGGGTAATAAATATAGTTGTACTATGCAATTTTCATTATTCAAATAACAAGTACATTTTAAATTTACCCATAATTTTAAGAACTGGATCGGTGACCAACCGGTCAAGTTACTGGTTCACAGGTTCATTGGTCAAACCAGTGGTTCAAACATATTTAATAAAGTAAATTCTCAGAATGGTATTTTCTAATAAGATATTTTTCCCAAATTAGTCTTTAATAAGCAATAATTACCAATATGGTTTTTTATAATTTAGATGTATTCCCTAAATAATTCTCTGTCAAAAATGCATATTAAATGATTTGTAAAACTATGGATTAACCTGTTTTACATATAATATTATAAAATGAAAAAGAAAATTAAATAGTACCAGAAACGGGACGAAATGGTTTGGGATACCATATTGTTCTACTTTGTCTCATTACTTTTGGGACCGGGATAATTTAAAACGGTTCATGATGTCAAAATCTAAACACTATCAAGTACAAACATAAAAATTTGTAGTATGTAAACTCAAAAAAATAATTTACAAATACCTTTAATAGATTCTCAAATAGAGGGTAGTAAAAACATTTACAAACATTTAAAAAAGTAACATTTTAGTTTACAATTCATATAAAGTTGGATAAATAAGTAATGCGGAGGAATATTTAGGTCTAGATATCAATGCATGTATGTTTTGTGATAGATAAAAAGTATGATGTTCTTTTCCGTTATCTCGTTTATACAAATAAATAAGTACAAATATTTCTTTTTTATTTATATAAAAAGGACAATAGGATAGAAGAGAACTGATAGATACCCTGGACATGGAGTATCCGGTCTTTGTGTAATATTAGTTGGGCAGTCTAGTCTATTGAACCGGCCCGTTAGTCGTATGTTAATTATTTATTTTAGGGCGGCCCAGTCTGTTGGGCCGGCCCATTAGTCCGAAACCCTAACCCTAACTCTCCCTATTTATACCCCTCTCCTTGGAAGAGGAGGAGGGATGGAGAGAGCTCATTCAACACACACACGGTTTTTCTAACACACTAATACTTACAATCTACTTGATTCCCAACTTATGCAATCTCGACCCAGTTCGATACTCTTTCGCCTAGTCTCCTAGGCCCCGGATTCCTCAACCCAACAAAAACATTGTAAGTACAACAACGGGGTGTTTCGAAATGGGGCCCACCCCTATTCTTTAGGATACGCTTTCGATATTACTAGGTTGACAACGACCTTCGCAGGGAGGATAAAGAAGAAAGCAAGAAAGAATCCATGGAAGATTGAAAAGAAAGGAAGAGATCAGGTAATAGTCATGGCGGAATGTATGTAGAACTCCGAAAAGAAATAATGCAAGATATGGGGTTAATGTTCTCAAAGAAATCACTTTGAGAACCTTATTTCAACACACTTTGAACTTCAAAGCATAAACTAACCTTGCATATTATATATTTTCTGTCTCTTGGTTGACTGATCTGATTTCATGTGCATGCTAAGACATGATGTTTCTTCAACTAGTTATGTGTTTGAAATATGAGCTGAATTTTTTTAAATCTGCTTAATGAAAGATTATAGAGGTTCCTGCGTGTTTCTATCCAATTAGAAGGGTGCCGAATAGCCATGTTAGAGGTCTAGATACTAACAACTGGGAAGAAAGTATTTGAAGAGGACTTTTGGCTTCCTTCTAACCCAGAGAAGAAGAAGTCTCAGAGAAGAAGAAGCCTCAAGGTATCGTTTTTACAGATTGATAGGCCTCTAGAGATGGATGATACTCTAAACATGACATATAATGATGATGATGTTGTTGCTGAAGAAGTTATTGAAGTAATCAATGCAGCTGTGTATCTTTTTTACATTATCATCATGCCCATTTAGAAGATATCGAAGGAATCAATGTAGTAGTACTTATCCACTGTATTTTTTCTGCTTTGACATTTTTATATTTGCTTATCAGTTATAGTGCACAATGATATACTCCGTATTAAGGAAATGATGTTGGTGTTTGGGGATTCTTAATGCAGTCAACGAAGCAGCTGAGTGGAGAGAAGTTTCAAGCTAGACAAAGCCACATTTTCAGTTGTCCATCATCTTCCATTTTTTATCAAGCAACATAAGTTCTTAGTTAAATCTTAGCATTACTAATAATTTCCCATGTCATTTTAATAGTCATTACGTTTTTAAGATAAAACATTTTTTAAATTAATGTTTGAAAGCAGATGATATGGTAATAAATTAGTTATATCATTTTTAATTAGTATTTTTTATTAATATTTTATATTTAATCTAGTTTAGGGTTTAGTATAATGGCTATAACTCAAAATATGGATGCTTTTACTCAATCGATGTATCAAATGCAGTTAGATTTTTCATTTCGAAAGGAGGGCCGATTCACGTGGTTAGAGGCTTTGATTATGAGTAATTGTGCATTGGACAAAATTATTGATTTGCTGGAGAATGTTCTTTATGGCGAAATTGAGCACGATGAAGGAGTGTGTGAACTTTGCGATCACATAGATGAACTTATAAAAAATCTACAGTCCTTCCGTCTTATTGGAGGTCAGCGAAATTATGATTCTACCTTACACACGCTTGACATAGAAATCTCTTGCTCAATACAAGATTTGGTTCGTGATCCTTCAATTTTGCCGAATTTGATTCCGTTAGAGTTACAAAATTTTAAATCAAACATATTGGGTGCTATCAGCAGTCTCATTGACACTCCTTTTCCTCCACCAAATTTGTCCCCAAGGACTGGAGGCATGTTTATCCAGATAATGGATGAAGCAATCGTACTCTCGACTCATATTGTGGAGGACTTAGATGAATCAAAGGAAGAAAGCAAGAAATCTCACATCAGGAGAACGCTGATGCAAGTTTGACATCGTTGGCGATGATTGTGGTGCTATTAATACAGATGATAACGTTAATATTCATCAGCGTGATGAGCCATCATCTAAACCAGATTCTACACCCCATGTGTTATATATGTCACTAAATGTCTTAGTTGGGGTGGACAAGGCAGCTGATGAAGATTATACGCAATCGGACATCTCGGTATCTTTTGATGCCATTAAGCTGTTTCACATTATCAATGTGGTCAAAACGAAGTACCTAGTTTCACTGCGAGCAACTACAAACTCCATGTCTGACACTGAAAAAGAAAAGGCCATATATTAAAAGACCGGTTTTTAAAACGAAAAAGAAAAATTGTTCGATATAAGATGGGCTAACCTGGACGAGGGGACCTGGCCTCAGCTTGAGTTTTTGGGATGGGTGCCCGACCATCTTCTGCATCATGGGACCTGGTTACACCCTCATCCTAATAAGGAAGCTGGTACATATAACTACCATAAGTGTAGATTTGTCCGGTCAAGGGGCTGCCCTTGAGGAGTTTCTCGCAGGCTTTGAGCTCAGGATTTGGTGTGGGGGTAACTAGGGGTGTTCAATCGGATCGATCCGATCCGATTCAATCCGAAAATTCGGATATCTGAAAATTTCGGATCATGTAAACTCATTCCATATCCGATCTGAAAATATTGGGATGCCCGAAATTTAGATATCCGAATTTTCAGATCGGATCACTCGATTATCTGAAAATTTAACTTTTTAGCCAAAATTTACAAAAAAAAGGGTAAAATAGCAAAATCAACCCACAATATCAAATTCAATATATATTTACTCAAAGAAAAATTTCACCACTAGGTAATGGCCTAATAAAAAAATGATACCAAATTCAATTTGGGAGTAGCTTTGGTAATTTGGCCTAAACAAACAAAAAAACACTACTAAAACAAAAAGTTCCAAAATGCTAATGCAAAAAGTCCAAAATGCTTGAGTTCCAAAATCAACATAAAATTGCATTAAACATATAGCCATAATATATATCCATAAAATTCCATTAAACATATAGTCAAAAAAATTAGATATCCGATTATCCGAAAAATTCTAGAATTTGAATCCATACCCGATCTGATTTTTCTCGGGTATCCGATCCGAAATATCCAAAAGCTAGAATAATGGATCGGATATCCATTTTTTGGATCGGATTGGCCCGGATCGTGGACGGATATTTCGGATCGGATATTTTTGAACACCCCTAGGGGTAACCGTCTCAGGATCGGGAAGCCGGTCACCCCATTCGAGTTTGGAAAAAAGGAATTGGTCCCTGGGAAACTCGATGAAAACAAATTGTTTTTTTCACTTCTTATGGTTGGGAGGAAGGTCGGTCACAAATGACCTCTTTAAGCGAGAGTGGAAGTAGACAAAGCCCGAGCAATTATGGCCATCGAGCAGAACATCAAACATGTATAGGAAGAGGTTGACCGAGGGCTTGAGTTTCAAGGATTGACAGATGTTCACGAAACAATTTAGGAACCAGTGCGCGTTTGGAGTAAGCTTACCGGGCACAATAGAAAACCGATGATAGATCTGAACGAGGAGGGGGTGAAGACAGAAGAGGATGTCACCCTTTAACGAGGCAATATGAAAACCCAACAGGGTATCTTGGTGGGATTTAGTTATGTTTGGCTAGTTGGGGTTATAATGGAGTAAGTAGCCACACGGAAGGTTGGCCCTGATTTCACTCACAGATTTCTTGGGAACTTTGGAGGGGATGAGGTAAATCGGCCTAATGTCAATAACAAAGAAAATCATGGCCTCAATCTGCTCCACCCATTCTTCCCAATTATCAGTCTCTTCATCGAAGCAACCGGGCATTTTGTTCAGGGGCTCGGGTTCCTGGACGATAGTCTCCCTTGTCGGGGAGACCGGCTGACTGGAGGAATGATGGATGAGGGGAGTCGCCAACCTAGAAAATGAAGACTCGGATTTAGAGCTAGAGGGTTGGGAATCTGACCCATACAACTGGGCTGAGGCATTTTGGCTATCACTTTGAGAGAACATGAGGGATATCTACCAGCCTAACTTTCAAAAGACTATGAGGAATACTATACCAGGCGAATGTGTAGTTAAAAAATCAAAGTGATGGAAAGACTAGGAGGACTTACTTGGAGGAAGCGTAAGTAGAGGAAAAATGGCCGGCTTAGAAGGTATCGCTCGAAAGTTTCAAGTGAGAGAGGCGCGAGGGGAAGATAGGCTTTTATTGGAGGGGCAGGCATGGGCCCCTCCTAGGCACCGGCCACCGGCAACTAGCGAGGAAATGACACGTGTAAGGGGCCATGATGGAGGGAGACGTGGCAGACAAGGTACCTGTGAGCTGTGCCGATTGGACAGCTCCAGGTCCTTTCAGGGAGCAGGTTTCGGAGGGAAACTTTGAAATTCAAAACTTTAAAATTTACGTGCGGCCAACTCATTATCGCAAGGCATAGCCCAAGGGAAGTGCTAGGTTTACTTCCCGAAGAAAACCTATTAAATAGGAGTAAATCATGAGACATATCCTCAAAATAGGAGTCTCTCACTTATATACCCAAAATAGGAGTAATTAATAAAACTCCCCACCCCTATCTTGATCGATCTGCTCCCCTTCTTCTCCCAATCCCTAGCCGATCCTTCCCTGTCATTCTTCCTTCTACTTAGGGGTTGGAGAATTGGAAATACACATTGTGTTCAACTTTGGTCATATATGTGCTTTGAAGTTGTCTTTTTTCCCATAACACCTGTGTAAAGATATGACTTTTTTAGATTGTTGTTATTGACATTGTGTTATAAAAGTTGGCATTGTATGTTGGCAAATCGCAGTACTTCTTGACACTTTAAAATATTTATGGCATTATATATTGAAATATTTAATATTATCCAGTGACATGTTTGTTATTGTATGTTGCAATCTTTGACATTGTTGCTTCGGTTGACATTGTATAGATAATTCTTTTTTATAGTAATTTGTGGCATTATGACACTTAGGCGGCGGCGATTACAGATCGTTATGGTGTCAGCGGTGATGGAGTAGAATTGGTGGCGTTGGTAGCGACGTGAAAAATCACCGCGAAGGGTACATTGTTGTGTCGGGGCACGGCGGCGACGGGGATCAACAACCCGATTTTTTTGTTTTAGTGATGTACTCAGTAAGTTATTTTTGATTATTTTTTTTATTTTTCCTTTTTATTTTTTCTCTCTTTATGTTGGCCAAAACATAGCCTTGCAAGAAAACACTTACTAATGAGTGTCTTTGATGTCTACCCGCAACAAAACAAGGAGAACGCAGGTCTGTAAGCTTTAGGAAATGAATTTAGTTTAATAGGGAGCATTTAAATAACTCATATTTTGGGGAGTTTTCTTTTCTACTCTTATTTTGGCATATTATCTATGTTTTGCTCCTATTTTGCTCCTTAACCCTACTTCCCACCGTTAATGATTCTCACAAAACCGGGAAGTTGAGGACTTATCGATGGGTATAATGAATACCTGCCGTGAAGCCGTCGTAAAGTGGCAGGTCAACAGTAACCTGTCAACAAATCAAATTATGTTTGAGGTAGTGCGCAATGCTGGGGAAAGTGACCGGTACGTCTTCCTCCAAAAGTGACCGATCATATTTTTGCATGGTCGTACTCCCGCATGAGCGTTACAGAAGACGATCTGAAGGAAGCTCCTCGAATTGACCTGGTTTGATTTCAGGAGTTTGGTTGATGGACACAACGCTAGGCGATGGCACGTACGATGCTATCCCGGTATCCTACCCCACCATCTTCGGGACATAATGGCGTAGCGACATTTGCACTTAACCATTGGATGACGTAATTGAGGGCGAGATTGGCGCCCATTAATGAGAAGGTTAGCGAGCAGCGGGTCAAGGACTTGTTTCCTTATGTAGATGTTGATTGGCGCTAGGCCCGCGCCTGAGTAGGGACTTGTTACCTTAATTAACCTCTTCCACCCTATATAAATAGACGGTAAGAGGTGGAGAAGGGGCATTCAATCATTCAGACACATACTTGTACACTCTTGAGACATAGTAAGAAATCTATGTTCGGGCACAAGAATTCTTTCCTGGTCTAGGTCATTCTCGTGTTCTTACTTTCCGGTGTGTTTGGCTTACTCGGCAGAGTATGTTTTGATCAGGTTATGCCCGGTCAAATTTACACCATTAATAATATTATGGTACCGTATAATAATAAAAATTACAATAAGAAACGTAATAATAATAATAAAGGTAAGTTTGTTTTGTGCTATTACCATGTATAAAATAAATTACCGTGTATAAAATAAATGAAAGTGTTGCCTTGGTTTAAAAAAATTGTATTCTCATACCTTATACTTTTTGGTCCAAAATTATGAATTAAAAAAAATTAGACGGTCAAAAATACAATGAAATATTAAAGTATGGAAATTATAATCATAGTGTGAGTGAAATACGATTTTATCTTAATTGTGTTTCCATTTATACTTTATAGGTATTTTATATAAGATAATTTCATTATACACGGTTTTTATTGGAAAAAAAATACACATTAATAATAATAAAAAAGTTAGGTGGAAACATCAATGTTGAAATGGTGTGTAAAATGGATGTGATTTTTACGAAAAATTTTATTGTATTTAAAAAAATAAAAATTCAAAAAAAGGAAAACAGATTAAGCAAAAAAAATCACAGTATAAATACGATCGTTCGCAATCACTTTTACAATTAGCTTCTTTGTAGTGTGTTTTTAAATGTGTCATTCGAACAAAATATGAGGATCTTAACCCCTGTAAGAAATATTGATAAGAGGTCATTGCTTTTGATGCTGATGGAGGACGACTCCAAAAAACACGTCATCCAGGCCCCATCAGCCATGTGGAAGATCTTCTCTGCTCGGCCCATGAGCTTGGCTCGCCCTATGGGCTCGGCTCGGCCTGCGAGCTCGGCTGGAGACCGTGATAGCGACCGCCGGATAGCGACCGGCCACGTTGACTGCGCGACAGCGACGAGATGAAAGGGACAACGCATAACAGAGATGACGTCCGCTAGGCGACGAACCTCGATCAGAGAAACTTTGACTATGTGTATTGTATCCCCTATAAAAGGGGTGAGACCCCTCATTGTAATGGATCCAAGTTTAGAACAAATAAACTCCTACTTTGCATTCTCTCTCTCTAAAAACTTATATTATTCTTTATTCTCGGTGGTTTATAGCCATCCAATTGGTGCTTTCATTGAGAGCTGAGGAACATACTCGTAGGTTAACTCCCGAACACGAGAATGGTGCAAACAAGGAGCAACGTCCCCACCACCAGCCACGTCGGCGACGAGGAGATCGCTCCGAGAAGCGGCAACGGCACGGGTGGCATCGCTTCGACTCCAGACGTGGTCCAGGCGCTGTTCGGATTGGGGGTGACCACAGAGCAGCTCCAGGCGGCCGTTGCGGCACTTTCCGCCATGGGTGGGAACGTGCCTGGCGCCGGGGCTGGCAAAGCTCCGCTCGGTCACCACACCGAGCACGCTGCCACTTCCCAGCACAAGGGGAAGAAGACTCGGAGGAGCAGGAGGAGGCCTGGAAAGGGCCCGATGATCGAGGAGGTGTTGGTGGAGGACGTCCTAGAAGGGGAGGACGATGAGTCCAGTGAGTGTAGAGTCTCGGCCTTCAAACGCTTAGGAGGCGAGGAGACCCGAGTGTCGGCCTTCGACCAGCTCAACCGCGGACCGGAAGGCCGCCCAGGTGATCTCTGTTGGCATATCTCCGAAGGGTGTCGGATGTGCGCTCGGCGAGACTTGAGCGGACCGAGGGCCAAAGGGACGAGCGGACTCAGCATCGCCAGAGCCCAACCAGAACCGAGAAGACAAAGGTCCCTGAACGGGATATGGCTGAGCTTGCGCGCAAGATTGCCGAGCTCAAACACCGAGTAGAGATGAGGTCCCCCTACAGTCAGCCCATCTTGCGCACGGTAACCCCGTTCACTCCGAGGGTCATGTCAGTTCCACTACCGGAAAACTTCCGTCCGTGGCAGATCAAGGCTTACAGCGGAACGACGGACCCCCAAGATCATTTATCTAAGTTCTACGCTTCTATGGAAGCGGCGGCAGCCCCGGACGAGGTCAAGTGCCGATGCTTTCTCGCGACGCTGGAGGGCTCTGCGTGCAATTGGTTCAATCGGCTCCCGAAGGGAACCATTGACGATTGGGATACGCTGGCGGAGAAGTTCTTGACGCATTTCGCGGCCAACCGAAGGCAAAGGCTACCTTACTCCCACCTGCTCAACATATGCATCCGCAAGGGAGAAAAGGTCCGCGACTTCATAGTCTGGTGGGAGAAGGAAGCCAGAGACATGCACGGGGCGGATGACCAAGCGTTGGTTGCCATGTTCCAAGCAGCCCTTCCCCGCGGAGAGGTGAGGAAGGAGCTCTGCAAGAATCCTCCCCCCACGTACCAAGAGACCTTGGCGCGCGCAAAGTTCTTAGCCTCGGAGGAGTTCGACGACGCCCCAGACTCCGAGGCCGCGCCGGCCAAGTGAGCTCCAGTGGACTCGGGAGAGACCGCGAAGAAGAGGAAGAAGAAGAAAGACTATACCGCGGGCCCGAGGACGCCCTCGGCTGGAGTGTACTCCGTGGGCGCCCCCGTGGGGGCGGGTCGAGAGCTTGCCCTCTCTCCGCTCCCCCACGTAGAGGCTTACGCGGTGTCCAGCGGAGCCAAAGGAAACATTGGCGGGGACTCCGTCGCTCAAAGGAAAAGGTGGAAGTACATGGCCTTTGTCGCCAAGATCAATCAGGCGCCGGCGCCCAAGCTCAAAAGACGAGAGCAGATCCAATTCACGGAGAAGGATCTTCTGAACACACCGAGTCCCCACCGGGACGCCTTAGTCGTGAAGATAGAGATCAACAACGCCATAGTACACCACACCTTGGTGGACACGGGAAGCTCAGTCAACATAATGTATGAGAAAACATTCCAAGACCTCGGTTTGAACCGCAAGGACTTAAGGCCTGTGCGCACTCCTCTCTCCGGATTCACGGGGGACTCCATCGAGGCCGAGGGAGTTATCGCCGTGCCCGTGATAGTAGGGGATGGTGCGCACAAGGCCAAGCTGAAGATGGAGTTTATGGTTGTGAGCATCAACTGCGCGCACAACATGATCCTGGGACGGCCCGGCCTTGAGGACTTGGAATGTGTGATCTCCCCGTACTACTTGTGCATGAAGTTCCCCACTCCGTCCGGGACCGGGGTGGCGAGGGGAGACCAGAAGTTAGCTCGATCGTGCTACGTCCGAATCACAAAGAAGTTGCCAAGGGATGAGACGCTGGTCGTGCACGCGCAGGAGGAAATGCGCAAGCTGGAAGCCGAGCCCACCGAGGAAGTCGAGGAAGTGCCGCTCGACCCGCAGATACCCGAGCGGAAGGTTAAGGTCGGGGCGAGCCTGACAACGAGCCAGCGGAGGCGCTTGGTGGACGTGTTCGCCGCCTACCGCGTGATCTTCGCGTGGGGACCTGGGGATATGCCGGGGGTGGACCCCAAGATCATATGCCACCGGTTGGCAGTCAACCCGGAGTCTAGGCCGGTGAAGCAGAAGAAGCGTTTCCTCTCGTCCGAGCGGAGAGAGTTTGTCTCCAAGGAAGTGACCACCCTCCAGAGCATTGGGCATATCAGAGAAGTTAAGCACCCGGAATGGATGGCGAACGTAGTGTTGGCTCCGAAGGGAAACACCTGGAGGATGTGTGTGGACTACACCGACCTAAATAACGCATGCCCCATGGATCCATTCCCACTCCCGAACATCGACCAGCTTGGGATGAGACGGCGGGTTGCGAGCTCATGAGTTTCATGGATGCCTTCAGCGGGTAACACCAAATCCGAATGCACCCTGAAGACGAAGAGAAGACGTCTTTCACTACCCCCGGCGGAGTGTATTGTTACAAGGTGATGTCGTTTGGACTCAAGAACGCCGGGGCAACCTACGCTAGGATCGTGAGCAAGCTCTTCGCGCCCGTCCTCGGGAAGAGCATGGAAGCGTACATCGACGACATGATTGTGAAGAGCAAGCAGGCAACCACCCATGCGGAAGACTTAGAAGGAGTTTTCAAGATTATGGAGAAGTACAACCTTCGGCTGAACCCGAAGAAGTGCACGTTCGGAGTTCAAGGCGGTAAGTTCTTGGGACACATTGTGAGCAGGCGCGGTATTGAGCCCAACCCCGAGAAGGTGCGCGCCATCCTTGACATGGAAGTTCCACGAAATGTCAAGGAGGTGCAGCGCTTGACCGGAAAGTTGGCTGCGCTCAGCCGCTTCCTTTCCTAGGTAGCGGATCGAGCCGCTCCATTCTTCCAAGCTGTGAAGAAGTCCCGAGGGTTCGTATGGACGGAAGACTGCCAGCAATCCTTTGAATCTCTGAAATCTTATCTCCTCTCTCCGCCGGTCCTCGCTAAGCCCGAGTCCGGAGAGACCTTGTATCTTTATTTGGGAGTGTCGCCCAATGCACTAAGTTCGGTCCTAGTCCGAGAAGAAGGCGGAGCTCAGCACCTAGTGTACTACACGGTGAAGAAGCTGAGGGTTCCGAGCTCAGGTATTCGGTGGCCGAATAAACAGTGCTGGCCATGTTTTCAACCGTGCAGCGGTTGACGCCCTACTTCCAAGCTCACCCGGTCCAGGTCTCTCCCAGCAGCCCATGGGTGCGTTGCTCAGGAGTCCGAACGCGCCCTCTCGCATGTCCAAGTGGGCGGTGTTCCTTGGAGCCTTCCAGATCGAGTTCAAGCCAAGGCCAGCAATCAAAGGCCAAGCGCTGTCCGACTTCGTGGTAGAATGCACCGCTCGAGAAGATCCGAGCCCGGAACTCGAAGCCGACGATTGGTGGACAGTTTTCACCGACGGCTCCTCCGCTGCCAAAAACTCGGGGGGTAGAGTGGTAGTCATTGCTCCCGAAGGCTTCAGAGCATATTACTCAGTCCAATTCGGCTTCAAGGCATCAAATAATGAAGCTCTCTTGTGCGGGTTACGTCTGGCAGCCGGGATGAACGCGACAAAACTAAGGATAAAGTGTGATTCGAAGTTGGAGGACGAAAGAATGAAGAAATACAGAGATACGGCTCTAGAACTACTTAAAAGCTTCACCGCGTATAGTGTCGAGCAGATCCCTCGGGCGGAGAATGTGGAAGAGCTGTCCGAGCCGAGCATCCATGCCTTCCCCGTGGCAATGATCTGTGCTCAGCCCAGAGATTGGACAGACGACATAGTCGCCTTCCTGAAGGATGGCACCCTCCTAGACGAGTCGATGAAGGCCAAGTTGGTCCGGACAAGGGCACCGGGGTATACCTTGGAAGGCGAGAAGCTATACAAGCGAGCATACAACGGGCCGCTACTCAAGTGCCTCCGACCGGCCGAAGCGAAACAAGTCATGGAGGAGGTGCACGCCGGAATCTGCTCCGCCCACCAAGGAGCATACGCGGTGTCAAGGAAGATAACCCTTCAAGGATATTTTTGGCCAACAATTGTTAAGGATTACGCGGAGTTCGTAAAGAAGTGTAAAGTGTGCCAAGAGTTCCAGAAGGTACCGGGGAGGCCTTCAACCAACTACACCCCCATCAGCACAGCCATCTTGTTCGCGCGATGGGGGTTGGATCTCGTGGGTGCACTCCCTAGGGGCACCGGGAACGTGAGGTACGTCATCGTAGCCATTGACTATTTCACTAAGTGGGTGGAAGCAGCCCCATTGGCAAGCATCACCGGAGCTCAATGCCAGAAGTTTCTCGCAAAGCAGGTTATCTGCCGCTTCGGCGTTCCCGAGCACATAATCACAGACAATGGGACACAATTCGAGTCCAAGCCCTTCAACGACTTCCTTGGAAGCTGGGGGATCAAGCACAGCTATGCATCGGTTGGGTACCCACAGACGAACGGATAGGTCGAGAACGCCAACCGAACGATAGTCCACGGGCTGAAGCGGAAATTGGAGGCCTGCGGAGGAGAGTGGGCAGAGGAGTTGCCTTACATCCTATGGACCTACCGGACCACGCCTAGAAGGGCAACCGGGGAAACCCCCTTCGCCTTGTGCTACGGATTCGAGGCGAGGGCTCCTGCAGAGATCTCCATCGCAACCCACCGGGAGAAGATCTTCGACCCCGAGCGTAACGAAGAAGCCCTGGCAGCCGAGCTCCATCTCGTACACGAGAGGCGAGAAGCGGCCTTCATACGGGCAGAGAATTACCGAAGGAAGGTAAAGAGCTACCATGACGGGCGTGTGCGCGCACGGGGGTTCATCGAAGGAGAGTGGGTGCTGCGCAAGAGGCCCGTAAGCCGCCCCCTAGAAGGTGGAAAATTTGCCAAGAATTACGAAGGCCTCTACATCATCAAAGAAGTGGTAGGCCCCTCAACGTTCCGCCTGGAGACGCCGAGTGGAGGGGATGTGCCCAGGACTTAGAATGCCGAGAACTTGGTTAAGTTTTATCAATAGATTTCGAATGTACACGGGCCCGAGAAAGGGAACCCGCAACACCATGATTGAATTCAATGAAATGGAATTTTTTGCAAACAAGGTCCAACAGGCGTGCTCGGCACTCTCCCTCAGGGGAAGAGCCGAGCGCAGACCATGTGCGAATGCTCTTCCCGGATAAAGGTCTAACCTTCATGCTCGGCACTCCTCCTCAGGGGAAGAGCCGAGCGCAGACCATGTCCGGATGCTCTTCCCGGATAAAGGTCTAACCTTCATGCTTGGCACTCCTCCTCAGGGGAAGAGCCGTGCGCAGACCATACCCGGACGTTTTTCCCGGACGACATTTGTGCTCGGCACTCCCCTTCAAGGGAAGAGCCGACCGCAGACCATGTCCGGATGCTCTTCCTGGATAAAAGTCTAACCTTCGTGCTCGGCACTCCTCCTCAGGAGGAGAGCCGAGCGCAGACCATACCCGGACGTTTTTCCCGGATGGAGGTCAAACATTCGTGCTCGGCACTCCCCCTCATGGAAAGAGCCGAGCGTAGACCATGTCCGGATGCTCTTCCCAGATAAAGGTCTAACCTTCGTGCTCAGCACTCCTCCTCAGGGGAAGAGCCGAGTGCAACCCTTAAGGCTAATGGCGAAAAGCGGAAACAAAACTTAATCAAATCCAAATTTTATTCATCCCGGAAAACGGGCAAGTACATGGCACAAACGCCTCACAATAATTAAACACCTTACAACTAAAGTACGAGTAGACTTCAGTGCATGCCACAATTCCACCCCCGCTCGCACGGGCAAGGTGGGGGGTAGGAAGGTGAATGAGCCCGACTGATGACGAAGTGCCCGATAGACTCGCCATAGCTGGGCGAGCCTGGGTCTTCAAAGGAGCACAGGCTCGGATGGTGGGATGCCACTGAGCTCTCGCTTGGAACCGCTACGGGAGGAGCTGGAGGGCGGCGACCTCGGCCACAGCGACCGGCAGGAACCGGGGGAGTGACGACCTCACGTCAGACCGGCGGAACCGGCGGAGATGGGGTCTTCTCATCCTCCTCCGACAAATAGTAGATGAACCCCGGGATCTTGGCATAAGGATCGGGGTGCACCGACTCGGACTCAGAGTCCGAGTCCCAAGAGTCCCGCAGAAAGGGCGGCGGGGTCGAGCTCGGCCCCGAATCGGTCGGAATGGCAGAAGATCCCCCGAGGGAGTAGCTTCCGAAGGAGAACGTCTCTCCTCGCATCTCACTGGAATTGGGAGGAGTGGGTTCTAAGCGCGGCATGACAAGATTTGAAGAAATTCAAATATGAGTGAAAACAAATTGTGAGGACCCCCCTTATATAGGCATCTTGCCATGGGGGAAGGTACACGTGGCAGCACGAGGACGGTCGTACTGACGGTAGATCAAAAGGTCCCAGGTCCCAAGGTTGTCTCGGTTAACGAGGAGACAGAAAAGGGACCAAGTCCCAAAGTAACCTCTCTTCGGCATGGCCGAGCTCGGGTCGGACGGGGGATGGGCGAGCACGCAAGTTAAATGAAACGACGAAAGACGGTAAAATTAAGGGCAAGACGGGAAAGCATAACATATCCATATAAAGCAAAAACCCGAATTCAAAAAACAAGTTCTGAGCAGCATTACATCAAATACGACAAAGTTTAAAGTCATATCACTCGGCATTCGGCTGCTCGCCGGCCGTGTCCCCGCCGTTCGGGTAGTAGATGGAAGTGTCAAACTCGTCAGGGTTGTCGCATGGTTCGGGGAAGTCTATCCCGGCGAGGAACAATCGGAGAGGACCTGCTGCGCTCGGAACAGACCAAGGTTGTACCATGATGTCCCTTCGGAGCGAGCAAAGGCTTTCCTCTCGGGAGTCTGCCCCCAGGCCTTGAGTAGATCATTCATGTGGGCGAAGGCCTCATCCTGGAACACCCCTGAGGATATGAACTCGGCCACGGCCTGATCGCGAGCCTCCTGGCGCGCCTTGCGAGCAGCCTCCTCCGCGAGTTGCTGAGCCCGCTCCTCGGCCTGGCGAGCTTGCTCTTTGGCCGCCTTCAACGCCTCATTAAGGTCGGCTATCTCAACATAAGCCCTGCTCCGGTCATCCTCACTGGCACGCAGCCGCTGGCTCATGTCGACCATGCGCATCATCGCCTGCAAATAACAAAGGGGTGAGCACCACAGATGAATTACATTTGTAAGGTGTAACAAGGGAAACTTACCGAGCCCAGCTCGTGGAAAGTATCCGAGGCCAGAGTCTCCCGGTCGATATCTTTTATCTTGGCGCGATCAGTTGGAGGAGTGAAGCTGCACAGGAAGGTCTCCGGGTCGTAGTCCCGATCTAGGAAGGAGACCCGAGTGGGGAAGGCTGCCTTGACGTATTTAGGATGGCCGAAGTCCTTCATCATGGGGGACTCGGACCCCTGCAGAGCGTCGGCGGCCAAGGCCGTTTCCTTCCTCTTCTTCTTCTGCGCCGTCTCGGGTGTCGGCTTCACGGGTGGAGTCGGGGGACGGCCGCCTGAGGTATGAGCTTGGGAGTTGCCGCTCAGAGCGTCCGGGAACATGAGCTTCATCCGCTCGGCGCTGGAGAGCATGATTTCACCTCCACAAAACCAAAGAAGACAAGTGGTGAGGCGAGAACTTAGCTGCGAGAAGGATGGGAAATCCGAAGTAGTCGCGACGCACGGACGGCCGAGCGTAAGAGAGGGCACTGACCTGAGGGGCCTTCTTCGATGCTCCGCGGGGTGTCTTCCGGGGATAGGAAGACGAAGCCGAGTGCCGCTAGCGCCTCGTTTGTCACTACCGAGCCGACTTCGAAGGGCCCCCCTTGGCAGAGCGTCTCTACGTCCTCGAGCATCTTGTCTGAGGTGACGCACGCGGAACGGAGGCGAAATGAATTGAGGGGTTCTTTACGAAAGGGGGAGCCCGAGGAGAGAGAAATGAAGATGAACTTCCCCTTCCAACTCTTGGCGGAGTCCTTCCTCGTCTTGAAGAGCTTCTCCTGCCTCTGGAAGATAGAGGCGTACGAACCCGAGTCGGAGTTGGCCCGACCAGACGACTTCGCCAACCGGAAGAGCAACAAGAAGCGAGCCAGATCGGGGCGAACCCCAGTCCTTTGGCAACGGATAAGGAACCCCACCAAGTAACGATGGGATTTTGGCACGACTTGGCAAGGGAGAAAATCAAAATGGTGGAAAAAATCTATGACCAACTGATGGAGGGAGAAGCGAAACCCATACTCGAGGGATTTGAGGTGGACAGCGAAGAAACCCGGCGCTGAGGCTAGGCGCTTCGCCTTGCGAAATTCCTCTACTGTGAGGGTGCACTTCCGCGCTCGGATCCCCGAGTCCTCCAGGGTAGTGCGCCTCTGATTGCGAGGCTCTGACTGAAGAGAGATCTCAACCGCCTCGACTATCTCCTCAACGGAGGGTGAGCAGGAGTCGCTCTCCTGGGCGGAGCCTGTGACGGAACCCTCGGCATCGCGCTCGGACTCGGACCGACGAAAGACTGAGGATTGGGAAGACATGGAAGAGCAAGGCCGAAGAAGACTAATCTAGTACGGAGCCGGAGAACGAACGAGGACGGCAGCGGGAAGACTAGCGACGACAAAGAATCCTACTTTCTCTCTCTAAAAGTGGAGAATGAGATGAGTAGGGTGGGTATTTATAGAGGAAGAGTTGAATGGGTGCAATGATGGGCCGCCACTTGGCCTAGGGAGGCGAAACGGCGCACCCCTTCATGAGGGCGAAGCCCAAACGGCACCAAGGGCCTGCTGACCTCTTCCACGTGGGCCCCCGCGCCGTTTTCCCGCAGTACGTATACTCTCTCGTGTCCCATCGCCGATTTCAACGAAACCCGGAGAGTGGGGGGCTTATGATGGAGGATGAATCCAAAAGACACGTCATCCGGGCCCCATCAGCCACGTGGAAGATCTTCTCTGCTCGGCCCATGAGCTCGGCTCGCCCTATGGGCTCGGCTGGAGACCGTGATAGCGACCGCCGGATAGCGACCGGCCACGTTGACTGCGCGACAGCGACGGGATGAAAGGGACAACGCATAACAGAGATGACGTCCGCTAGGCGACGAACCTCGATCAGAGAAACTTTGACTATGTGTATTGTATCCCCTATAAAAGGGGTGAGACCCCTCATTGTAATGGATCCAAGTTTAGAACAAATAAACTCCTACTTTGCATTCTCTCTCTGTAAAAACTTATATTATTCTTTATTCTCGGTGGTTTATAGCCATCAGATGCTAAAACTGAGAGCGATAAGAGTTTATCATGTTTTCGCCCATGTTAGGCAGCCCGAATCATTGGATGTTATTTTTCATGACTCAGAAGTTAGTTCTTTCATTAATATGAATCTAAAATATGTATACATTAAGAACGTTGAAATGATTGTTATATACACTTTTTTCCTTTACATTGTTAGGGAGATCGAATACATGCACAGATCAGAGATTTGAATATACGCACTTTCAAAGAAGATTTGAAAGAAAATAATGTTTATTTACTGATGATAGTCAAAGTACTACGCAATTATCAAACAACGAAAACTACCAATCACCCTTTCATGCTGCAATTCTTTAGCAGGACGAAACTTCAAATGATTTTGAAAAACAAATTTCTCAATTTTCGTTACAACTTTATGAGATTTGAAGAAAATAGAAAATGACTTTTGGTGATAGTATGCTTTTAAATGTTAAGCGTCATTTAGGTTATTATAATTAAATTACTTACACATATTTATATATTACTTGTTCCATCCAATAATAAAGTTCTCGTTCATTATTTACAAGATCAAACTTTATTCACTTTGTTGGTTTATTTTCGTGTTCTATTTGATAAAATAATATAGTCTTATCACTTCTCATTTTATAGATCTTTTCATTTGGATTTTAAATATGTAATTTTTATTTTTTAATTTCATACAATTTTTCATATAAAATGATTTGAAAATTACATCAGTCAAACATCATAACGCGCGACGAAAACTTTATTTATGAACGGATGGAGTATGTTTTTTTACGGATTATTGTTACGGAAACCAGTATTTACTCATGGACAATTGTATGTTGCAGTTTCAAGAGTAACAAATTGTAGTGGCTTAAAAATTTTGATATGCAACGAAGACAATGTTCCCACAAATTGTATGAGTAATGTAGTTTATAAAGAAGTCTTTCAAAATTTGTAGAGCAAAAAAATTTTGTATCTTAAGATAATAAAATCTCTATATTCTATTAAATATTGTTTTCTATTATTCAAAATTAGTCTTAATTTCGTAACATAAATATGTGACGTGCAATACAAATACTAGTCTAAATACGTAGTAAGATATAAGAAGAACAAATCTGGATTTTAAAAATAAAAAAAAAAGGAAAAACGAATAGATTAAATGTGCACTCAAAATTAATGAAAGGGATACTCCGAAAATTTGTTCTGTTAATCAAGTGCCTCTAAGAAGCATCTCCTGGAACCTCTTGAGAGAATCGAGCCTCTGGAGGCGCATCCGTTTGTAGAATTTCTTGATGAACAAGTCGGCGACGTCGTCGATCTCGTCTTCCAGGTTGAACTTCTCTCCTCCCTCCTCCTTCGAACTCTTCACCATTTCTATCGCCGATCCGTTCGGATCTCCCAACTGCTCATCATCGTCGTCGTCTCCCTCCTCGAACAGAGAATGTCTCAGATCTGGATACTTATCGTCCTCGTCCTCTTGGCGATTGTATTCCAGCAGCAGTTGATCCTCGCCGGCGGAGGGAGAGGCGGCGCAGTGATCGGCGTCCCCATCCTCGTCCTCTTGCTGATTGTATTCGATCAGCAGTTGATCGTCCTGTCCGCGAATCTCCTCTCCGGCGCAGTGATTGACGTCGATTACGGCCTTTCCGCCGGAATCTTCTTCCTCAAATCCACCTTCGCCGTCGTGATTCTGCCCCAGGAAGGCGTGGATCCTGTGAGAGATGGCTCCCGCGCCGAGCCGGCCTTGCAGGCACAGCTTTCGAGTCTTCATCAGCGAGAAAAGCTCGATTCGAGCTCTGATCGATCCGATTTTGTCCCCAATGGCGACTGATTTGGACTTCTTCGCCACAGCGCTCAGCACTGAGACCAGTCGCTTAACGATCGCCCCTACCTTACCGTTCTTCATGTTCCGATCTCTCTTTGATTTTTTTTTTCGGCTCTCGAATTCGTTATTCAATTACGGTCTGGAAATGGGACTGGTTGAAGTTAATAGGACCGAACGATTATGGAATCACAATGTAACTGTTTATATTTATAGAAGACGAAAATTTCTTCTTTTTTTTCTGGCGATCTTTTTAGTGCGTGTGGTGGGGGCTTTTTACAGAATTCTTACCTTTTTTCATGCAATCTTTTATAGTGCATGGGGTAAGGTAAGTATTATAAACCCGCCGAGTCACTATAAACTTTACGTTCACTTGATCAAATTTTATTCACTTTGTTGGTCTATTTTCATTATCCATTTGATAAAATAATATAGTCACTATTTACAAGATCAAACTTTATTCACTTTGTTGACCTATTTTTATTACTAATTTGATAAAATAATATAGTCATGTCACCTCTAGTTTTGTAGATCTTTTGATATAGTTTTTTAATATGTGATTTTTGTTTTAAAATTGCACACCATTTTTCATATAAAATGATTTAAAAATAACTTCAGTCAAACATCGTAATGCGTAACGTAAAGTTTATTTATGGACGGATGGAATATTTTGAAATGGATGGTGAGAGCCAGCTGGATGAGCATGGGCCTTGCTTTTGAAAAGGCTTTTAAACAAACAAAGCATTACCTGCATGCGGCAGCAAGCTGCTGCCATGGTGGCTGCTGCACTTTGCTTAGCGATGGAGAAAGCAGAAATTTTGAAGTGACCAAACTATAGGCCAAATATATACCACCAGTGGTTTGATTTCAAAACGTTGCAATCATGTTCTCTCATATCATTTCCGGACAATTTTTGGCGCTCAGAAGAAAGCATTAATACCTATTTTCCAAATCATAGGAGGCACTATTGCTGGTTTCTTATTTTTCATTTATTTGTTTTTCTCTTTTTTTGTCTCTTTTATTATTCAAAGTTTTTTAAATTTCTTTTTAAAAATGTTTTTATAATGTTCTTAAAATTGAAAATTATTTTTGTTTGAAGCAAAAAACGTATACTGTATTTATGCGTTTCAAATTAACAATTTTCATTTTTTGTTTTCTAGAATAATTTTTTTGAAAACTTCAAAAAATGCTGAATAAAATAAGAAATAAAAGAAAACATAAATAATGAATATCCTTGTTGGACATCCCAATTTTAAGGACTTTTTAGGTATTCTAAAAAATGCTTTTTGTATAATACTCATCTTTTTTAGATGTTTCTATTTTTTTCATTTCATTTTTCCATATTTTATTTTTGATTCTCTTTTTGAACTTACCAAATACATTATTCTTGAAATCAAAAAGTTAAAATGTTTAATTTGAGATAGATGGGAAATTTAAATTTTTAAAAATATTATAAAAAATTTAAAAGAAATTTAAAAAACTTCTTTAGGAAAGAGAAGCAAAGAGATAAAAAAAAGTTAAAAAAAGGAAAAAAATTAAAGTAATAAATGAAAATAAGAAATGAGCATGTGTGTTCCCTATGGTTTAAAAAATAGACATCGATGCCCTCTCTTTGCCGGAAAATGATCTGAAGGGTGTGGATGCAATGTTTTAAAACTACGAACATTTAAAAAATAATTTTTGAAAATAAAGGGGATATTGATGTCAATTTTCCAACCCACAAGGGGCACTGGTGCTATTTGACTCCAAACAACAGGGAGTACTCCTACGTCCCATTTGTCTTGAAGACAACTAATAAGAACTTTTAGTCAATAATTAAATAAAATTGTGGTACATTAACAATATTTTGAAAATAAGAGTAGATACTGTAACTAGTGTGATTGTAAGTGTAATTATCAATAGATAGAATTAGCCTTGCAAATCTGATATCCGATAGGTGTGGGTTAAAACGTATGTACGTGATCCACAAACTGTTCTTCTGAAGGGGCATGGATACCACCTACCTAGCGGAGAACTCCTTCGTTAACAAAATTGTGTTGTCTTGTAATGAGTTAACTAAAGTAGACTTGAGTCATGGTCGTGGGTAGTGACTCTTAGTCATAAGATAAGATTTTGAATAAGGATGTGGTGGTTTTAGCCTAGAAAATAAGTTATGAGCAACTAATAAGGATGAACTAGGATAATGATTTAGAACTTATGAGTTCATTTGGTGATTGTTATATGATATTATTAATGTTGTACTTGTGTGCATGATATAGTATAAAGTTATGAACTAGTGAGTTCATCTATATGCTTAGTTGAACATTAGATATTTCTTACTTAGCAGCAATGTTGAGCGTGTAGTGTTTGTTCTTTTGTTATACGTAGGTAACATGAGTGACGCTTAAGGAAAACAATCTTGGAGGGCAGTAGGGATAAAGAGACTGATGGATGTTGTCTGAAAGAGTATTTTTTTTAATATTATATTTGAATTTATTATATTTTTGGGCCAAGAACCCAATGTTGTGTTTTGATTTAAGTACTTAAGCTTCTGCACCATTTTGTGAACTTCGATGGATATTTAAATATTTTTTGAACTTCCGTGTCCAGGTGTATTTCAAAGTACTTTACAAGATCAATGAACTATAATTATTACTGTACCAATATCTAACATTTTTTTATTTTACAGTTAAAGTTTTTAAAAGATCTAAATTGGACAAACACTCTAGAACATATATAATACGGAGTATGTAATTGTTTAAGATAAATTTCACCAATGGCATATGAGCTTTCAAAATTATTTTCATTTTACAAGATCAATGAACTATAATTATTAATGTACCAATATCTAACATTCTTTTATTTTACGGTTAAAGTTTTTAAAAGATCTAAATTGGACAAACACTCTAGAACATATATAATACTACCTCCGTTTCTCAAAAGAGTTCCTCTTTTGACTTTGGGAGAAAATAAAGAAGTGTTAAATTGTAGTTGACTTTCCAATTTTACCCTTGATGTGATGGGTAAAAGTAAGATGTGATAGTTTAGTTGTTAGTGAAAAAGTATAATGTGATAGGTAGGGTATGAAAAGTAGGGGTAAAAGTGGTGTTTTAATAGAAAGGAGAAGTGTTTTAAGAAAAACAAAAAAAATGAAAGAGGAAGGGTTTTAAGAAACGGAGGGAGTATGTAATTGTTTAATAAAACTTCACCAATGGCATACGAGCTTTCACAATTATTTTAATTTTGATAAATTAACTTTAAATACTATCACAAAAATATACCAATTTCAATACTCCATCTATCTCGATTTAGATTACAATTTATTTTTCTCTCTCCTCTCGATAACTTTTATTTATTTGTGCTTTTTCATTGAATATTTGATAAAATAAAATATTCTTGTTATCTCTCGTTTTGTAAAACTTTTGACATAGTTTTTTAATATTTAATTTTTATTTCTTATTGATATATCAATTTGTAAATAAAATAAATTCAAAATACAAAAGTTTTTACTTAGTAACTCCCATTTGTAATCAAATTAGGATAGAGGGAGTATTATTTCAGCTAAAATCCATTAATAGGTTATTAGGTGATCTACTCATGCTCTTACCCAACCTAACCTTGTCTCAATTACCCCCATCCCGCTGCTCCCATCATTTCACATACACCGATAGTTTTATCTTCAAAGTTCTTAGAGCATCTGCAAAGGGGCTTGCTATATGTGGCTTGCTATTGCTTTTTTAAAGCAAATGAATAGTGGTATAACAAGCCACTTTTGGCTCCTTTCTCCAATCATGACTTGTTATATTATACTCCCTCCGTCTCATAATGTTTACTTATTTTGATCAACATGCAAAACTCCATAACTTTTAAAATGATTTTATTTACAATCAGTAAAGAAATACAAAATAAAAAAATTATATTTAAAAGTACATCGAAAACTCTACAAAACAAGAGCTGACAAGAATATTTTATTTTATCAACTGATCAGTGAAAATATGCAAACAAATAAGAGTTACCGAGAGACTATAATAGTAAATGGATATTTCTTTTTGGAACGGAGAGAGTAACTAACAAATATATTTTGTTCCAATAACAAATAAGAGTTATCGGTTTTGGGTCTCACCGATTTTTTATTTAATCCATTTCCGATCTAATTGATTTCATATCTAATCGTTTTCAAGTTTAAATCGGGTATGGATATATTTAGTTTGGTTTCCATTTAGTTTGGTTCAGATTATTTTGGTTGTTCAGTTATAAATCGAATATTTACTTTTTGCATCATTTTGATCTTGGTTTCAAATCATTCGGTTCGGATAATTATTTTTTATTCTGTTTTGCCAGGTCTAGTTGTAGGGGTGAGCATGGTACGGTATGATACGATACAATATTCAGTTTGTACCAAAATTGTATCAAATATTTTGGTTCAATTTAAAACTTTATTTATGTCATGCTAATCCCGATCCCGAAATATCAATTCGATATGGTTTGATATCAAATTTGGTACAAATCGGGATGAATATATACGTATGTACCTAGCTTACACTTCAAAATGTAACAAAACTCCTTTATTTTTGGAAAAATCGAAAGTATATTTATATAAATAAACTGAAAAATAAATAATTAAACATAAGAAATTCTTATTAAAACTTTGTTTATATTTCACAAACTAAAAAAATGAATGATAACAAATAGTATTTCAAATTGTCGTTAAGACTTTTATATTCATCTACAAAAAAAACTAAAACACGAATAAAAGCCTAACTTATAGCTTACACATAATCAAACTTGAACCAATTTTTCAAAATAATTTTATTATTTAATGAAGAAATACAAAGAGATTATTATTTTTATAATATATTAGCTAGTGTACGTATATGTTTGGTTTGAAATTTTTTATATGGGAAATTTACTTGTATCTTTCCTAAATATCGTACCGACCATTCGGGGTGTCAAAGGGGACAAAGCCGGCTCGATTTTTATAAATTATGCCTTCTACAAGTTCCGGGTGCAGAGATTTTTTGACACCTTCTATTGTGTAGGCCATGATAAATTTAAGATGGAGTATGAGTTACTAGATTGAGCCATAAGATATTTGGACTAAATCACATTGAATAAGGTTAAATGCTATTGATTATTTAATTCAATTCAAGAACTTATATACCAAATTTTATTTTCTCTTTAATTTTTGTTGTGGAATATTTTAGCAACCTTGCCTTCTCAACAAATCAAAGAGGAGTATGTAATGGAGCTTTTTTTGTGGAACAATGGTGAGCTTATTAGAGTAATAAGCTCCACAGGATTGGGGATGAAAGAAAATAATTAAGAGTAACCTAGAAAAGTTAAGACAAATTTCAATTTTTCTTAATGTCATTTGCCCGACCAAATCGAAAATTAAATTTTAGGCAGAGGTAAACCTAGCAAAACATACCCACACCCGATAATCTGAACCGAATAACCCAAAAACAAACCCGAAATAACCTGAAATCTGAAAAACCAAATTAAATCCAAACACTTGAAATCATTTGAGCCGAACCAAAATTGTACCGAATGTTTTCAGACCCGATTCAGATCCGAATGTGATTGAACCCAAATCGATTACACCCGGAACTGATTAGACCTGAAGTCGATTAGACTCGAAACCGAATAGACCCAATATTGATCAAATTCAAAACAAATTAAACTCAAATTTAGTCAAACCTAATAACTCATTCTTTGATGTCTTTTCGGAAAAGCATATTTGAATCATAAGTACAACTAATTACAAGTACAAATCTTTTATTCCTTATTTTATCACTTAAACTAAGGTGCTTATCTATTTTTATACACATTATATATAACTTATAGTGATATCGTGACACACATTGATGAATATACTGACTCATTATTGCTTGCACATGTATATATACCCCATACACAGAGGGTGGGGACCGGGGAGGCTACACACAATGCTAACATTAAGAACTCTGATACCAAGAGATCTCATCTGAAATCGGCATAAACTTGAGCCTGTAAAAACCTGAATCGATATAAACCCAAAATGATATAAACCCGAACCATAATAAACCCAAATCAAAACCCGGAAAAATCAAACCGAATTAAACCCGAAACCGAATGAAAACAAACCGACCTAATCCAAACCGATTATAACACATATCTGAAAGATACTCGAACTGAAAAGATTTGAATCGGAATCGAATCAACTGACCCAATTATCAGATCTAGGCGGAGGTAGTAATATCAAACATTATACGGAATATTTCAAATGACACCAGAATCATAACCATCAATATAGTGTATTGAAAAAAATTAAGATAGAAATAATATTGATGATGTAAATTACCTAACCGGGTAAACTATTCCAGACCGGGTCTAGGATTGTTTACTTGATTCGGAAAGTAAAAAGGTAAAAACACACAAATATGACCGGGGGGACTTTAGGTGGAAACACCTGTAGCCCAATTAATATTATAACAGACGATGCACGGGTGCTTTTACAGGGGAGTTTAGAGAGAATGAATTCACATCGGATCCTTTACTTTGAGGATTACAGCAGTATTTATACTAAGTTAAGGGGGACAGAGTATCATGCAGCCACATTCAGGCACGTTCTCGGGTGGTGAGAGGTGATGGGCTTCGTCCTCTTGCTGCCTTGTCCTCTTGTGAGGAAGATTACCTCCTTTGTCAGGTAGCGCCTTGGATGGAATGTCCGAACATCTCCAGCGATCCTCTACTGACATGGGTCGCTACGGTCCAAACCCCTTTGGATTCTTCTTTGCCGACACTTTCTGATCCTAGAAATCACACTGGATAGTTTCCTAGGGATAAGTTCATCGCATTTAAGGAATGGATGAGGCGATGAAGTAGTTTGACCGGTATACTTGTCCAAAGTGTACCGGTCATTGTTTAGTCCATCGAGCATCCTTTAGATTAAAGTCTCCCTTTCAAGTATAACCTCCTCGACCGGTCAACTATTTAATCCTTTCTTTTGACCGGTCCTCGGTGGAATACACCCATCAAATATGTTACAATTTTTTATTGTAGTTGTCATTTTTACCCACATAAATATACTCTCTTGCCCAAATAGCTACATTTCTCTCTATGATTTGGAAAATTAGCACCAATATCCCTTTAATTTTAAAAAATTTATTTCTAATGTCTTCGTGGTTCCAAAACGTTGCACCCATATAGCACCTCTGATCATTTTTCGGTCATTTTCCGTCAAAGAGGGAGCATTGGTGCCTATTTTCTTAATCATATGGGACACTCGTGCTCATTTCTTTATTTGTTTATTATTTGGTTTTTTTGTTTTTTAACTCTTTTTTATCTATTTGTTTCCTTTTCCTATAAACTTTTTAAATTTCTTTTCAATTTTTATAATGTTTTAAAAATAAAAAATTATTTGTGTTTGAAATAAAAATAAAATTAAATAACAATGCTCTATCTATCTCAAATGACACATTTTCACTTTTTTTCTAGAATATTGTTTTAAGTTTAAAAACAAAATTCAGAATAAAAAATAAAAATATGAAAAAAAAATGAAAAAATTGAAACATGCAAAAAAGTCTTATATAAAAAGAAATTTTGAAAACGCCTAAGGAGTCTTTAAGTTAGGATGTCCAAAAAGGATATTCATTATTTTGTTTATTTCATTTCTTTTTTTATTCCGCATTTTTTGAAGTTGTCAAAAAAATATTTTACTTTTTTATTTCAGTAAACAAAAAAAATTTATTAGAGATGTACAGATGCAATATACTCGTATGTTATTTTTTTTTAAAAAAAACAATTTACAAAGGAGAAATAAAATAAACAATAAAGGTGAAAAAGGAGAAAATCAAAAAATAAATGAAAAATAAGAAATGATCACCAGTTCCCACTATGGTTTGTAATATAGACACCAATGCCCCCTTTTTCGTTGAAAAAATGCCTAGAAAATTATCAAAGAAGGTATGTGTAAAACGTTTTGAAACAACCGACTTTATGAATAAGTTTAGAAAACATGAGGGATATTGGTGCCTATTTTCAAAATCACAGGGGTATTTGTGTTATTTGGCCATACTTTCTCTCGTCTAGAGTTTTTATTCAGTTTTGAATTTTTACAATCATCTAAGGTCAATCTTTGGGTGATAATGAAAATACAAATTATATACTATAATAATTAAATAAAATAATATTTTCAAGGGCTAATATATTTTTGGTCTATTTAAAGTAGATGATTTTTTCGTTGCTATAACTTTTTTATTTAAGTTATGCATACAAATCCTTTATTTTTTAAAATGGTCTTTAGACATAATTAACACTACTAATTAGTTGAAATAACACATTTATTTCGTACTAAACTACATAATCTTACATTTTTATTTATCTCAGACATTAATGAAGAGACTATATATTTCCAAGAAATTTGCGAATTGGAGACTTAATATGATAGACATAATTTTGGGGATAAGAATTATATCAAACGTAATTATTAGAAATACAAGGCTATGATATTGAATACGAAATAAATGTGCTATCTCAAATGATTTGAACTGTTAGCTATATTTAAATAGGATTTTCAAAATATTTTTTTAAAGAATGACTTAAATAAAACAATTACATTGACAAAAAATAAAAGTCACCTGTTTTGCAGAGTTCAAAAAACATATTTAGCCTAAATTTTGAAAAATATGTTATAAGATAAATCTAATAATAATTTATATACATAGAACATCAATTTTATTTATTAAATAATCAAATTTTACTAATTTTAACAGTGAAAAATTAAAACTGGATAACTGGGCCGCTTAGATGAGGGCCAAACTTCCCACTCATGAATTGGCCCTAAAAGCCCATCTATAATTCATTCTTCTATGACAACTGCTAAGGAGAAGGAAACACGCATCCCTTTATTTCCTGCTGTATTGGACAATTCATCGTTCTCCCAAAGCCAAGCCAGGTATTTCAATTTCTGCGCTCATCTTCAGCCATTGCTTCAGCTTCCAAACTTACATAATCCTCTCGAACAAAAATTATGCTTTGCTTCAATTTTCCAGATATGAAATACACATTCATCAGATTTCATAGATCTAGGGTCACAATTCCAAATCTGAAACGCCATTCTACAGATCTTCAGGACTTGGATTTTCGAAATTGATTATGAAACCCAACTCTAGAGATCTTATTTCACGTTTCAGATAAACTCATAAAAATTCGCTCCGTGATACTCAGCATATGTTTCACTATTTTTAAAATTAGTGTTTTTTTTTCAGTTTTATTAACATATTAGGAGCACTGCTTCGTTGTAATGGCAAATTTTGAGTTTTTACCACCAAAGTCATAATGATAACTTAATTCAAGAGCTCAAAGAGTATCCTCTATTACATTCACAAATTTGCTCTTTGTAATGCTTAGATTAAAGTATATTTTATGCAGAGATACTAGATATCTGGTGTTGAAAGTGAAATTTTTTAAATCAATTTATCGAGGGACCGAGAGAGAGCCTGAACCTTTTTTCACATCTTCATCTTCCACTCTCTTTGAGTTTTAATCTTGTTATAATTTGTGCTACAGTCTATAGCAAATTATCGAAATTCGAATGATACTTGTCAGAATGGGTGCTTTCCTTTGTTGGGAAATCTATTTTTTTAATCTCTGTTTCTGTTTATTCTGAAAATTTGCAAAGCAAACTACACGATTGCATTTAGATGGATTTCCATTGTGGGTTTTGACTGCTGATTGTTTGTGCTGCAGAGCAGTGAGTTTAGGGATTGACAGTACAATGAATACCGAGCAACCAAAGAAGACCAATGAAATCAATGACACCCCGAAGATTGATCTCTTTGAAGATGATGACGAGTTTGAAGAGTTTAACCTCGATGAAAGTAAATAATTTCATCCTTTTATCCTGCTTGTGATGCTCTCCTAATCCAGTTTTATATTTATGAGAAGTGAAATTTATTCGTTTTACTTTTGTCTTACCCGTGGCTTTAGAATCATTTTTCAGAACTAATTTCCGTAATAAGTATTTAAATTTAAAGTGGTCATCCTAGTACTTGAACTTGATTGTATGCCATGCGTGTTAAACTTTCAGCGTGTCAGTAATGTCAAATGCTTGTAGTACTTGCAGTTTATTGTTAATCAATGCAAGTAATTCCATTTTGAGTCTGCACGGAAATAGTTTTCCTTAGCTGTTAGTTAAGATTTGGTGATTTGTTCTTTGTCTTTAGTATTCCTCTTCCAAAGTTTTTTAGCTTTACCTGGTCAAAACCTTCTAGTATTTAGGATGAAGTGGTGGAACTGAAACCAGTTTTCTTCCACATCTCTGATATAGTAATTGACATAATACTTGGTTTATAACTCCCAGGGTATATCTTTACACTATGTAGTGGTTAACATAGTCATCTGGATTGCTCCCTTTATGTTAATGCATGCAATCGGATGAGCTCATAAACAATGCCTGTGAGATCCCACCTTCCACATAAACAACGCCTCTTAATGAAATCCACTTTAAAGAATCTCAGGGAGCTGTCTTCAATTTGGTAGTGATCTTGTTTTGATTTATATAAAATAATACTCCCTCCGTCCTAATTTTGATTACAATCTTTTAATCTCTCCCCTCTTGATAACTTTTGTTTATTTGTGTGTTTTCATTGAGTATATATGATAAAATAAAATATTCTATTAATATGTAATTTTTATTTCTTATTAATATAGATGTAGTTTTTTAATATGTAATTTTTATTTCTTATTAATATACCAATTTGTAAATAAAATGATTTCAAAAGACGAGAGGTTTTACCTTGTAACTTGCAGTTTGTAATCAAATTAGGGACGGAGGGGGTAGACAACATGAGAGACTAAGAATGCTATTATTACTTATTAGAGAGTATGAGGGGCCAAAAATGGCCTACATATTGAATATGCTTTACGTCATTGAAGCCTACATTTTGTGAATATCTTTTGTTTTTTTGCTCCACAGATGGTTAGCTTTGTTATACCTTTTGATAGATACCATCGATTTTCCTATGCTGTACTGTTTTGTATTATACTTGTTCATCTTCATGGGTTTTACTGCATAAACATGAACAATAACAGATGAAGATGGGATGAAAGACGAGGAAAAAGTTGTACAGCAGCCAAACCAGTGGGAAGATGATTGGGACGACGATGACGTCACTGATGACTTCTCCATGCAACTCAGGAAGGAATTGGAAAACAACAACACTGAGAAGAAGAACCAAGTTGGTGTTCCCATTTCCTAATGACATTGTGCACCTACACAAGTCTATGAATGTTTGTCCTCAGACTTCTTGTTCATTTATGTTTGGTTTAATGAAAGATCCAACTTTTTTCTTCTCAATCAAATCCTACATTATTCTAGCTTTTTGCCCAAAGAAGTGCCTCTGTTATTCTAGGTACACTCACCTTCTCCACACCTCATTTGTGGGATTTTATTGGGCATTTGTTTGACGAAAAAAGTCTCGTGTTCTATTCATTTGAGACTTGGTCCTATGAGTTTGCGTCAACAATTCAAGAGGTCGGAAAAAACACTCTGTATCACGCATCTCTTTAGAATGATTACTTCATATTTTTGAACCCACAAATAATATCAAGAGCATTTTCATCAAGTAAAATTTGTTAGGGACAATTCTGTTTTATGGGTAACCTGTAAATGATTAATTTTAGTAACCCAAGTGTAAAATCTTATACACAATTCTGTAGATTACAACTTAAATCTTACAAATAATACAGTTGACATCAATAGACTTGTGATAGAAACAAACCACATTGTGACTTGTGAGTCTTCCAAATATAGTGAACCGTGCACACAAAGGCCAATTAGGACACCTTCTTCCTGACCATAAACCCATACTGTTGCTTCCCCTCACCACAACAAAGGCTACACTCTGCCAAGCTTAAGTGTGAAGGAGAACATCGGGGGGATATACGACTGCCAAATGAAAGGCATCCATGGTTCAGCCGTGGCCTTCACCCACAAAAGATGAGAACTCATTTTTAATATAGTTGCTTCCAAACACAATTGTCAATAATCAAATTCGGGTAGCAGTATTTTTTAGGAGATAAATAACGTGCTGAAGTTGAGCCAATAGGCGAAAGGAGGGTAAATGTACTCCATGTTTTATATGTTGCCACATTTTTCGCCTAATATTTACTCCCTTGTGCAAAATTAATCGTCCCACTTCACTCTATAAGGTTAATTTCTTTTTGTTTTTTTTGTTTATTTTCGTTAATTATTTGTTGAATTAATAGTCATATCATCTCTTATTTTGTATAAAATTTTATGTAATATTTTACTATATAAATATTATTTTAAAATATTGTACCATTAATTAAATAAATTAAATTAAAATGAATTTTAGTAGTGGGACAATCCTATCCTATATATATATATATATATATATATATATATATGTATGTATGTATGTATGTATGTATGTATGTATATGTATATGTATATGTATATGTGTGTGTGTGTGTGTGTGTGTGTGTATATATATATATATATATATAATGGAAACCGCTTTTTCGGGGCGTCGACCCGACGAACTCAGTACCGGGTCGGCACTACACCAAATAGCGAAATCTGGAAAATAAATAAATAAATAAATAAAGCGGAGAGAAAGTATTTATACATGGAAACCCAAAATGGGAGAAAACCGCGGACCTTTTGAGACGGTGTCATGTCAAAGGAGAGGAACTTTTATTAATCTTGGGAAAATTTACATATACATTATTGTAGAGCTTGAGCCATTAATGGAGCTCCAAGCTTAGAGAAGAAGAAGTATGAAGAATAATAGGAAGTTGTAGGAATTTGCCTTGGCCCTCCAGCCCCCCTCTCCCGTCCCCCTCCTTGATGTGTAATGTAAATGCCCATTATAAAAGAGAGTACATGCATGCATGCCCAACAATGCCATGAGGTGGTCATGTCACCTCCATGTGGACATGTTTTGTATATGGGCTCCACTGAATATTTTTACATCACTTCAAATACTCCCTCCGTCTCCCTGTATTTGTCCACTTTTGACTTTTGGAACTGTTCATCTAAGCACTTTGACTCATCAAATTCTCTTAATGTGTAAGCCTAAATATAGTCATGTGTGATCTTGTTTGATTTGTCTTAACATATAGATTATTAATATATAATTTTTATAATTTTTTAATATACAAATTACAAGATAAAATGGATTAAAGAAGTGCATTGGATTGTGTGTAAAAATGAAAGTGGACAAATACAAGGGGACGGAGGGAGTATATTCTTCTGTCCATATATCTCTGGTTCCGTCTTGAATAATTTATCTGATTTATATCTTGGGCCAGATGAAATTGAGCTTTCTTGTACTGTTCAAATAATATTGGATTAGGTAAAATCTCTAATCCATCACATGCCCCCTAGTTTTGAGTCTGTCTCGGGAAACGAGACAAATTCAGAACTATATGATTCGGTGGGTCACCTCGTGGGATAGAATTTTCCTCAGTGCCTCGGGAAGAGGACTTTTCTAGGGGATTTGTGCTTCTTGGAAGAAGACTTTTCTCAGAGATTTGAGCCTCTTGGAAGAGTGCCTCTTGGAAGAGGACTTTCTCAAGGCGTAGTGCCTCTTGGAAGAGGACTTTCTCGGGACTTTGTTCCTATTTAGAAGAGGACTTTTCTTTCATTTTAGTGTCTCGGGAAGAGGACTTGGTGCCTCTTGGAAGAGGACTTTTCTCGGAGCTCGAGTCCTCTTGGAAGAGGACTTTTCTCGGGGCTCTTTTTTCAATATTCTTTGGGAGCCTCTAAACCCCCACCTGATATCTATCTCACGGTGGTTGGGCGCTCCGCTCTTATTGATTAATAGACAATCCTCATCTACCTTACTATTTCTCTCTAACTCTTTTCTCTATCTTGAATTGGTACGGGAGTCTATGACTATCTCTAGTAATCCGATCACCTAACTTGACCTAATTACTGACCTCTGCTTTCTATTCTTTTACATTATTACTTTTCTCAACTTGTACAACTTGGAATGGACTACTTGAGTGTGGATCCGTCCCCTGAACGGATCTTAGAAATTAGAACGGTCCACTGGAGGCTAGATCCATCCATTTGAAGGACCAATGAAGCCGAAACAGAATAATTGGGGTCGGCGCCGTCCATTTGAGGGACCTATGAAGCTGGAGCGATCCTCTTGAGGCTAGATCCGTCCACTAGATGGATTCTAGAAGTTGGAACGGTCTAGACCTGCCCCTGGCTCGCCGAAGAGGACCGCAAAAAGGACCGCCGAAGAGGACCGCGGAGAGGTTCGCCGGAGAGACCGCGAAGACGACCGCCGGAGAGGACTGCGGAGAGGACTACCGGAGAGGACCGCGGAGAGGACCGCTGGAGAGAGGCTCGCCACCGCCGTCCGTGGCTCGCCGGATGAGGGAGTTCGCTGCTGCCGGGCCAAGGTTCGCCGGAGTGGACCACTGCTAGTGGTATGGCTCGCCGCTGGATCCCGCCGGAGGTGAGGCACGCTAGAGGGCTCGCCAGAGCAGAGGGAGCTTGATGGAGGAACTGGAGCAGTCGTGGACGTTGCTGTCCGTGGCTCGTCGGAAGAAGTGGAAGCTCTTCGGAGAGCCGCCGCTGCTGTCCGCAGCTCGCCGGAGGAAGTGGGAGCTCGTCGGAGGGCCGCCGCAGCCGTCCGTGGCTCGCCGGAGGAAGTGGGAGCTCGCCAATTACTCGCCGGAAGTTCGCCGACTGATTCACTGCTCCAGATCTGATGGCCGACGAAGAGGAGGACGACCACCACCTTTTCTCTTTCTTTCCTCCTTTTTTTGATTCGCTCTCTCCCCTTTTTAATTTATTTCTCTCTTTTTTATTTTACTTTCCCTCCCTACTTTATTTATTTTACTCGCAATTTGAGAGACCCAAAAAATGTAAATTTTTTGTACTCGGTCCCACGGTCGGCGCCAGTAATGAAAACCACTTTTTCGGGGCGTCGACCCGACGAACTCGATACCGGATCGGCACCGCACCGAATAGCGAAATCCGGAAAATAAATAAATAAATAAATAAAGCGGAGAGAAAGTATTTATACGCGGAAACCCAAAATGGGAGAAAACCACGGGCCTTTTTAGGTGGTGCCATACCAAAGGGTTGGAACTTTTATTAATCTCGAGGAAATTTACATATACATCATTGTAGGAGCTTGGAGCCATTAATGGAGTTCCAAGCTTAGAAAAGAAGAAGTATGAGAAATCATAGGAAGTTGTAGGAATTTGCCTTGGCCCCCCTCTCCCGTCACCCTCCTTGATGTGTAAATGCCCATTATAAAGCAGAGTACATGCATGCATCCCCAACAATGCCATGAGGTGGCCATGTCACCTCCATGTGCACCTGTTTTGTATATTGGCTCGACTGAATATTTTTACATCATTTCAAATATATTCTTCTGTCCATATATCTATTGTTCTATCTTGAATAATTTATCTGATTTATATCTTGGGCTAGATAAAATTGGGCTTTCTTGTACTGTTAAAATAATATTGGATTAGGTAAAATCCCTAATCCATCATATATATATATATATATATATATATATATATATATATATATATATATATATATATATATATATATATATATAGACACTCCCTCCGTCCCTAAATATTTGTCACACTTGTATTCCCGATGTAAAATATTAAGTTTTTTAATTCATTTTATTTACATATTGGTATAGAAATAAATAATAAAATTTACATATAAAAAAACTACATGAAAAGTTTTTCGAAATAAGAGGTGTCAACAATATTTTATTTTATCAAATAACCAATGAAAATGTAAAAATAAACAAAACTTCATATATATATATATATATATATATATATATATATATATATATATATATATATATATATATGGAGCGTCTAAAATGACACCAGTTACTTATACACCAGTTGCTTACAGCAGTTCGTTTGGGGTACCTACGGTGCTCCGTTTGTAAAAACGACGGTTCCTACCCACCTAAACCCCCCACCCAGCCCCACCCTTGCCTGAGCCCAGCCCCACCCTTGCTAGGCAGTGTACTGCTAGGGTAGGGAGGGGGCGGGAGGGGGGGCTGGGGTGGGGGGGCAAGGGTGGGGCTTGGGTGGGGGGTTTAGGGGGAAGGTTAGAGGGTGTAGAAGCCGTCGTTTTTACAAACGGAGCACCGTAGGTACCCCAAACGAACTGGTGTAAGCAACTGAAACCAGTAGCACTGGTGTCATTTTAGACTTGCCGATATATATATATATGTGTGTGTGTGTGTGGGGGGGGGATTGACTCCGATGAGATGACACCTTGTGGTAAGATGACATGTTTCAGTTAGATGACGCTGGAGCTCATCACTTATCACTGCAAAACTCACCACTGTCCACTGCAAAGCTCACCACTGTCCACTGCAAAGCTCACCATGATTTTCCAACACTTTACTTTTTTCAAGATTTGATGATTAAATGCTCTCAAAGCCCAGCAACAAAGCGCACTGACTCTAATTGCAAATCTCACCGATTATGTGCACAAAGCTCACCATACTTTAAAATTTAAAATGACTTCAAAAAAAACAAAGGGCAGTGGTGCTGACTTCCAATCACTGCAGACTACCGTCATGGACCAATGGTTGACTGGTGGTGCAATTTTATTAGCTTTTTTTTTAAAAAAAGTGGCACGCCTCATACCTTGGGTTAAATCAAAATATTAATGATAAAAGGATAAGAGTTATACAAATGAGATGTGTCGTTGTAGGAATTGTTCTGAGAGCTTTATATCTATAATTTGGGGGTGATAATGTGTTTTTAGATAACGCTTATCACTTGTAGTATCTAATAAATATTATGACCAATTTTATAGGTACCTAGAATAGGGAGGGTCACACCTAGAACATATGAAAAGCGTAGAATATAGAAGTAGAGTAAAGTTGCGTTTATATATTGTGTATATTATATTGTGTGACAAGATAATTAGTTACACAAACATATATAAATAAATGTTTATATTTGAACATTTTAATAATATGATAATTAAGTATGTCAAATATAATTAATAATAATGTATGTGTGTGTGTGTATATATAATTGTTAATCATTTTATTATTAATGTATCACATAAACATTTATTATTTCATATTTGGACTTTTAATTATATGATAATTAAGTTTGTCAATTTTTTAGGAACAAAATATAACATTATATATATATATATATATATATATATATATTTTTNAAAAAATATATATATATATATATATATATATATATATATATATATATATATATATATATATATATATATATATATATATATATATATATATATCCTTTAAATTTTAGTCTTATAATTTTGACAAATAGGTTCGTCAATAGCAAATTAAGAAACAAACAATTGTTGAATTCAAATTAATTTTGAAAACCAAGAATATACGTGAGTCGGCATACAAATACTACTAAATTCTACGTACTATAAATACTATGGGTATGATTTGAGATAAAAAATACGGAGTAGTAGACATAAAAGAAAATAAAAATACAAAAAAATTTAAAAGAAATTGAAGGTAAACAATTTTAATAAAAACTATTAAAATTAAATTTTTGTATTAATTTTTTCCAACAAAAAGATAGAGCCAAAAAATAGATAATTCCAAATTTGTGAATGGATGGAAAGAAGTGAGAAAGAATTGTTTTTTAAATGATAAATTTAAAGAATAATACATGCTCACTTCTTGCCATCCACTCACCATATTTGATATTTTTTACTTTAGGACAATCTACCCTTTGTGACGACCATTTATGAAAATGAAAGTGAATCATGGTAAAAGACAATGTGGGAAAATATATACCCAAAAGTAATAATTAGATAATTTAAGTATACTCCTTAACACATTATATGTACTAATACAAAAAAGAATGAAAGACAAATACTCTCTAATTTATAATCTTAAATAAAAGGTAAATTAAAGTGCGGGTTGTTGTGTTGGCAGATTTTAAATTAAATAAATAAATGGCAATTGCTAGTATGGGTTGAGAATATATCCCATATGCTCCAATTCGGGGAAAGCCTTTCCCTACTTAATAGTTCAAAATTGGGTTGGACCATGCTACATTTACACCAAAAAATATACCATATTTGTACACTGTAGTTATACACAAATATTTTGATGGTTTACACCGACAAAAATGTTGGTGCGTTAACAAAAATTTACACGGACACAAAGTGTTGGTGCGTTAACAAAAATTAGTTTTACACCAACACAAAATGTTGGTGCGAAACTGCGGGGTACAAATTGGAGTACAAAAAGTTGGGGTACAAGTAGCTTTATCCAATTGGGTTTTATACAAGAGTGGCCCGATGGGTCTCACCCAAATACGAATAAGTATTATCGCTTTTATCGCCTTAATATTCTATCTTTCCCTCTCTAGGATGTCGTCCCTTTCTCCTCTCCGCCTCTCTCGATTTATAAGGGGTTTAGCGGGAATTTCTTTGGCAAGAAACCATGATGTGGGCCTATAGTGCAGATCATTGTGTAGTGGTTGCCGGGAGCTGGCGCATGAGTCAGATGTCGCCTCCGCAATAAATGAGTGTACGACCGTTATGATGGGTGGTTGGGCATTGAGTTGATGGCCTGACTCTGAACAAGTCCTGCTCGGCGTCCATTGGGTTGAGGAACAGCCATTTATTTTCTCAAGTCTCCCCTGACTTTCCCTCGGGTATGGGTATACCCGACCCTAAACATCCATCAGACCGATGCCAGCTAGAGGTGCACATGGTGAGGAGCCCGTGGGTTGCCTAGGGGAGGCCATCCTCGCTGATTACAACAACAACAGCATCCCAGTTGAATCCCACTACAGTAGGGTCTGGGGAGGGTGACAGGGTGTGTGTACGCAGACCTTGCCCCTACTCGGAAGTAGAGAGGCTGTTTCCAAGAGACCCCCGGCTCAACCTGCACAAAAATATGGAAGGAAACACAGTATAACACCGGTAAAGAGCTAACTACAAGCAACAAGTACAAGCAATAGCAAAAAATTCCAAACAAACACAACATACTACAAACAACCTCTATAGCACCGAGCTCCTATCCAGCTACTCTAATCCTAGTTCTCCAAAGGTTCCTATATAAGGCCATATCCTCAGTCAGGGTGAGAAGCCCTAAATCCTGCCTAATCACCTCCCTCCAATTTTTCCTAGGTCTACCCCTTCTCCAACTTCCCCAGATAACCGTAATCCTCTCGCATCTCCGTACAGGGGCGCCAGCATCCCGCCGTCTCACATGACCAAACCATCTCAACCTCGCTTCCCGCAACTTATCTTCCACCGGCGCCATGCCTACCTGACGTCGGATAACTTCGTTGGAAATCCTATCCAACCTTGTCTTCCCACACATCCATTATAACATTCGCATCTCCGCCGCATGCAGACGACACACATGAGTCTTCTTAACTGCCCAACACTCTGCCCCATATAACATAGCAGGTCTGACTACGGATCGATAGAACTTACCTTTATCCTGGGCGAAATCTTTGGATCATACAACACCCCTGGAGCTAACCACCATTTGGCCCAAGCCACTCCAACACGATGTCTAACATCCCCATCTAACTCCCCATCAGCCTGGATTACCGAGCCAAGATAACGAAACCTGTCTACCTTAGGTACTAGGTGAGAGTCAATCCTAACTTCCACTTCTGATTCTGTTTCCCGTCCGCTGAAATGACATTCCATGTATTCAGTCTTGTTCCTACTAATTCTGAATCCTTTAGTCTTAAGGGCAAGGCGCCATAGTTCCAACTTATCGTTTAGTCCCTCACGTGTGTCGTCGATAAGCACAATATCATCCACGAAAAGCATGCACCATGGGACCCCTTCTTGAACACTTTGAGTTAGGACGTCCATCACTAAGGCGAACAAAAAAGGGCTAAGGGCAGACCCCTGGTGCAACCCCATCCCTACCGAGAAAGACTCGGAGTCACCCCCGGAAGTCCTTACCCTAGTCATAGCCCCATCGTACATATCGTTGATCGCGCGAGTGTACACAATGGGAACTCCTCTCGTCTCAAGGCACCTCTATAAGACCTCCCTTGGCACCCTATCGTATGCCTTCTCAAGGTCAGTAAACACCATATGGAGGTCTTTCTTCCTAGCCCTATACTCTTCCATTAACCTCCTCACGAGATGAATGGCCTCTATAGTCGATCTGCCAGGCATGAAACCAAACTGGTTCTCATAGATGCAAACCCCTTTCCGCACCCTATACTCAATGACTCGCTCCCAAACCTTCATGGTGTGGCTAAGTAGTTTGATGCCTTTGTAATTATCACATCTCTGAATGTCACCTTTGCCTTTAAACAGAGAGACCAAGAGACTCTCCATCCCTCCACTCATCAGGCATCCTTGTTGTCCGGAGGATAACATTGAAGAGTTTGGTTAACCAAACCCTCGCACCACGACCCGCATGCTTCTAAAACTCCACCGGAATCTCATCTGGTCCCAAAGCTCTCCCACTACGCATCCCGCGGAGAGCCCGAACCACCTCTTCCTGGCAAATGCACCAGAAATACACACGAGATGCCCCGGACTGCCCCCAACTCATCAAGAACTAGCCTCTGGTCTCCTCCCACATTTAAGAGTTCACTAAAGTACTCCCCCCCAGTGCTTAGCCACCTTGGCAGTCTCAACTAACACACTACCATCGCTGCCCTTCATGCATCTCACGTGATCAAGATCTCGGGCCTTCCTCTCACGCACCTTAGCAAGCTGGAACAGTGGGTTAACACTGCCTTTCTCCTCAATATCCTTGTAGAGGCGTTCCAAAGCGGCATTCTTTGCCCTCGTAACCTCTAACTTAGCTTCTTTATGTGTCTTCTTGTACTCTACTCGTAATGCCGCTCTTTCCTCCTTAACATTGCAGCCCGTGTACCTCAAATACGCCACCTTCTTATTAGCTTCCACCTTACTTCGAAGTGAATCGCTCCACCACCAATCGCCCTGACGCCTACTCTCAGAGCCAGAGCTCACACCTAACACTTCCCTGGTTGTTTCCCTGATGCAGTTAGCAGTCCGTGCCCACATATCAGTAGCCTCTCCGGCCGATTCCCACGCACCTTTCTCCTGCACTCGCCTCATCAACTCATAGATATTCTCCCCACTTAATCTCCTCCACCGAATTTGTGTGTTGCCACTCGAAGCTCTCCTATGTTTCACCCACCTGATCATGACATCCATCAGCAGAAGCTTGTGTTGGGTAGTGATGTTTTCACTCGAAATTACTTTAGCATCCTTGCAGAGCACCCCCATCCTCGCTGATTATGTTCTAAAATAAATTAATATAGAAATAGGCAGTATGTTCCAAAGCTATTTAAAAAAATGAAATTAATACCTCCTTCGTCCCTATTTTGATTACAAAATGGGAATTGCGAGGTAAAATTCTATGATTTTTGAAATTATTCAATCTACAAATTGGTACATCAATAAGAATTAAAAATCACATGTTAAAAAAACTACATCAAAAGTTTTACAAAACAAGAGTTGACAAGAATATTTTATTTTATCAAACAATCAATGAAAACATACAAATAAATAAAAGTTATCGAGAAGAGAGGGAGAACTTAAAATTATAATCAAAATGGGGACGGAGAGAGTATAAAAACTCATAGTGTTGCCACCTACTCTTTGTTTATAAAGAAAAATAAATATCGAGACCGGCAAACTAAATAGAATAAACATAGGGGTACACCAAAATGGAATACCCCATTTGTACACCCGGCAAACACAGACACTTAATGTCTGTAAATCACAGACACTAAGTATCTGTAACACTTAGTATTTGTGAATCACAGACACTAGGTATCTGTGTTTGTCTGATGTACAAATGGGGTACTACGTTTTGGTGTCCTAACTAAATCTTCACTTTAGGGCGTACTAATGAATATCTAAACCATGTGATACATGTGCTGTAATTTAAAACAAATATGAAAAACCGATACATTATTCCACAAGTTCTACACTGTGTTTGGTTCTTGTATTTTTGATAGAGAAAGGAAAATAAATTAAAAAAGGAGGAAATCCTTTTTTCTTTGTTTGGTTAGAAAGGAAAAGAAAATAAAAGTGGAAGGAAAATAAAATGAGAAAGCAAAATAACGAAGAGGATGGAAAAACAAATTTCTTTCATTTTGGTGAGAAAAATGAGAGAAAACCATTTTGTTTTCTTTTCCTTCAAATTCCTTGAACCAAACATAGAGATAAAGTTATAGAGCATAAAAAATAAAAAAGAAAAAAAACTCCCCCCGTCCCAAAAATTCTTTCCTGTTTATTATTATGGTCTCTCGATAACTATTATTTGATTGTGTGTTTCCATTGATCATTTGATAAAAAATATTCTTGTCACTTCTTATATTGTAGAGTTTTAGATGCAGTTTTTAAATATTATTTTTATCTGTTATTTAATTTTGTATTAAATCATTATTTTTATTATATTTCATAAACCTTCACTTTATAACAATAAAAAATCCTTATGTTTGTTCTTTTTTTAATAAAATTTTCACTTTCTAACTATTTTAGAAATATTTTTGTTGTTTTAAAAAATGTTTTAAATATGTATGACTCTTTTATAATATTAAAAAAATTATATAAAATTTAATAATTAAAAAAACAACGCTTCTTATAATTTTTAAAATTATCCATCATCTCAAAAGAAACTATTATGCATAAATTTTATCACACATGCATCTTTATTAAGTTCATAACATATTTAAATTTTTTGTCTTATTACATTATTTATTTTAATACATAATTTTTAGCAAACTAAATAAAGTGAAAGTTTAATTGAAGCATTACATGTGGCACATGACAGATATGCGTTCTCTAATGATGTGTCATTACTTAATTAATTTATTTGACATTTTTATTTTAATTTTTATTAATTAGAACGATTTTCATTATTTTTAATTTGATGACCATTAGATTCGTATAAAACTTTGAAATAGTTAGAAATTATTTATCAAACACATCATATATTATTATTAAAGAATTTAAAATAAATGGTTCTTTATAACATGAGTTTTCCCTATTTAATCTTCTATATTATCAAATATTATCCTGATTATCCTTTTTTATGAGTATCTTTTCACAAATAATTGTTTTTTAATCTTTTGTCATGTTGGCGTTAATTTGAGGCTAAATGTGTAATTTCACAATAATCATATATCTCTCTTGTCATACACAATTCAAAAGACCCCTCGTGATGCGTCGTTTGTAAATTCCAGTTGCTTTCTACTATTACCATACTCTACAGATGTGACTTTTCGTCGAAATACTAGTCCACGTTTTAGTTATTATTGTTGAGTTGTCTTTCTAACTAATATCACAATACGTCACTAAATATAAGGTTACTGTGAAATTAAACTTTTAGCCTCAAATTAACATCAAAATAAAAGAAGATAAAAAAAGACTATTTGTAGAAAGGTATTCATAAAATAGGGACCATGAGGTAATATTTGATAACAGAAGGTTAGGCTACGCCCCGTTTGCCTGATCTGATCTACTCTGATTTTTTGAAATTCTGATATGGTCTGATCTGATTGGATCTAATCTGATCTGATCAAATCTTATCTTACTTGATCTGATCTGGTCTGATCTAATATGAATTTGATTAAAGTTAAAATTAATTTTTTTATTATAATAGTTATAATAATAATAGAAATAATAATAATAATACTAATAGTACACCTTGGTTTTCATGACATTGGTTCCCAATGTCATGGGAACCAAGGTGTAATAATAATAATACTAGAGTAAATTCCGTAAAAGGTTTATAGTTATATTCCGTTTTACATATTTAGTCCGTACATATCAAATATCAATAATTTAGTTTCCAATTATTATATTATTTTTCACAAATGGTCCTTTGTTAACATTTGCGTTAAAAATATGGATAAAATTGTAAATACACGCTTCTCTCTCTCCTCAATTAAGCTTACTCTCAAATAGTTTTGCATACTCAAACTCTCTTAAGTTTCAATTCACTATTGACAACGCCAAACTCTGTGTTTTGTTAACTTATTTTCGTGTTCTATTTGATAAAATAATATAGTCTTGTCACTTACTTCCTCCGTCCTATAATGATCTTTGCAGAGTACTATTCCAACTTCACGGGAATTTATATTTATTTGTGTTTTTTCATGGCCTATATGATAAAATAAAATATTCTTGTCACCACTTGTTTTGTTGAACTTTTGGTGTAGTTTTTAAATATGTATGTTTTATTTTTTATTTCTATACCAATATTTAAATAAAATAGATTGAAAAAAATTTGGGATTTTTCTTCGTTTTGCGAACCGGGAAGATCATTATAGGACGGAGGGAGTATAATTTTTTTAGATCTTTTCATGTAATTATTAAATATATACAGCGTATTTTTTTTAAATTTCATATAAAACAATTTGAAAATAAATTCAGTCACATTGTAACCGGTAGAGAGGGAATATATTTTTGAGAGATTTTTTAAATTTATTAAAACCTAACTATCTAAATTCCCAAATATCCTGACTCCAATTCGGCTAGAGAGGGTTGCCCTATTGCAGTCTCCATCGCTAAGCACACGGCCTTCAGTGCTCCGTGCGACCTTGCCACCTCCCAGGTAAATCCTCCATCTCGAATCAGTGTTACTTCTTGCAGTTTGTATTATCAGCCTAAATACTCTCTGTTTGTTAGAATATTTTAACAATTATCAATTGCGATTTATCATATATGAATCTGTGATTTTTGTGGATTTGTAAATGATGAATTTGTTATTTGTGATGAGCTTAATTTCCGTATGAACATTATGAAAGTTTAGTTTTTCTAAATTAATTTAATTACTAAAGTTGAAATGAAATGTAACTTCTTGATTTTGAAAATATTTGAATTTAAATAGGATGCAAAGGTATTTTAAAAATGTGGCCAAGATTCAAAGTGCTTGAATCAAATGAGTATCCGTATAACTTGGATTCAAATGCTTTTTCGTGTTCAAATCAACTGTTAGAACAAACCAATGATTGTCTAGGGAAATACATGAAAAAGATATTTTTGCTGCCATGAGCGATGTTATAATAAACCACTTTCAAAGTATGAAAAGTAGATGCCACCAATTCTAAGATATATTTTATATGTGCAATGTAAAACACTAAAACTATTATTGATTTTCAATCGATTTCATAATTTTTAAGTTATATGTAACCTTTAATCTTATGAATTACTCCCTCCGTCCCCCTGTATTTGTCCACATTTGACTTTTAGAACTGTTCATCTAAGCACTTTGACTCATCAAATTCTCTCAATGTGTAAGCCTAAATATAGTCATGTGTGATCTTGTTTGATTTGTCTTAACATATAGATTATTAATATATAATTTTTATAATTTTTTAATATACAAATTACAAAATAAAATGGATTAAAGAAGCGCATTGGATGGTGTGTAAAAATGAAAGTGGACAAATACAGAGGGACGGAGGGAGGACTTACTTTTTTACTTAATGTTCAACGTGTGGCATGTGGGTACAAATTTTCATGAATGAGATCCCATGACCTAATATTTTTGGGTCCGTCCCTACTCAATGTCAACCTATTGTATTCAAAGTGCCATAGATACGATGAAACTCTTCTGTAATGCTTGGTAACTTTCCCTTTTGCCTAGCTGTATTGTGCTCCCTCCATTTTCGAATAAGAAGGTAGTGTACTGCCCTTGGGGTTCATCTTGCATAGAATGGAATATGTAATTGAGAAGGTTAAAGAGACTATAATACATGATTAAGAACTTTCAAATGCATGAACACTGGAATCAAACATTTATAATGCTAACAAGTAGAGAATAGAGATAAATAATTTGCCGCTAAAGTTTGCGCTTAAACGTAATAACAATAATTATTCTTTTTTGAGTCTTTTATTCACGTTTGTAAAACTCTTGCACAAGTTTTTTCTTTGTTGCATTTCAGTTTTCTAAAATATCAACAAACAAATTCGCTCATACGTTAGCCTTAGCTCATCGTTCTTTGCCTAGCTTAGTTGATGGGGTGAATTGTCCACCTACTTTTTTTCCGTTGTACTAGCTTTTGGTTTGTGTAATAGCAAATATTTTGTTTTTTTATTTATAAAAAATAAGTAATCTTATTTATATGGCTGTCCGTTTTATAGTGTTAAAACATGAGCCTCTTAATGAAGTTCTCTATCCCATCAAAGGAGTTGTATTTGAATATTCATTTTTAGCTAAAAAAAGTCTCATTTAAATTTAAAATGTACCCCCTCCGTGTGGGAAAGATGTTCTCAAGTTGTCTTTTCATGTTTTTTAAGGAGATTTGAAAAAGGTGGAAGTTTACGAAACTACCCTTAATGAAAGTGGGTGGAGTATATTAAATGAGATGAGTGAGGTGTAATAAATAGAGAGTAAGGGTAGCTCTGGTATTTCAAATGTTACAAAAAGTAATGAGAAGATTTTTCCTGAACAAAAAAAAAGGCATTTGGAAAGATATTTTTCGGACGGGGGGAGTACATTATTATATCTAATATTTGTAATAAAAATTTCTCAAACAACTAAAATTTACTTGTACCTTATAGGATGATATAGTTGTTAGGATTACGTTCACTCACACAACAAACTAGATGAAGATATGAAGAAATCAACGAATAAAATAAAGAATAGCTCTCAAGATCAAAACTTAATTTTCATGGTAACTCCTAGTTAGGAAACTCCACGGTGTAATGAGCTTTAAATATATATGATTTTAGAGTATGTATAGTTACAAAGAATACACACGATAATAATAAAGGCACTTTACAACCTAAATGTGGGTATGGGCACCCAACTTTTGACTATATTTAACAGTACATCAAATTTTGCTTCAAACAACACAATCTAACAGTAAAAGAAAGCATCAAAGTTGTAGTGCGTTTGAAAACATCATTTACAATTAGGTTTAACATTTAGAATACGCTCTAGGAGTTAAAAATATTAAAACTAAAGTCTATCTTTAGATAAAAATTTTCCATCATCTCCGATGGAGCCAAAATTTCACCATTTTTTGGCTTTGGGGTGTGATGGAATAAATCAAAATGGATCTCTAAACTCTTTGCGCTTTTCTTTAATTAATGAAGTAGCAGTTAGTCAAGCAATGCAACTTTCGACGTTGAGCCGGGGGTCTCTTTGGAAACAGCCTCTCTACTTTCGAGTAAGGGGTAAGGTCTGCGTACACACACCCTCCCCAGACCCTACTCTTGTGGGATTTAATTGGGTTGTTGTTGTTGTATTAGTATTATTTTCTTGAGCCAGGGGTCTCTTGCAAAACATATACATAAGAGATAGCTTTATGCTATTTCTGCTACTCTGCTATATATGCTCTTTGTGATCTTGTATTATCTGTGTTGTGGCCAGGGGTCTTTTGGAAACAACCCCTCTACTTTCGAGTAGGGGAAAGGTCTACGTAAACACATTCTCCCCTGACCCTACTGTCGCGAGATTGACCTGGGTTAATGTTGTTCATGGACTATTAACAACTGCTTAAGAAGCCTTATGCTATAATTTAATCCCTCCATTTTTTTAATTGTACATTTTGGTTTTTATTAAAACTAAAGGCTTTCATTAATTCTTAAAAAAAGGCTATCATTAATTCATTAGATAGTGTTTTCTACATACCAAAGCTAAACTTCAAGATTGTTGCCAAACAGACGTGATTGCTCTATAGAGTATTATTAACTGTTTAAATAGCCTTGTGCTATAACTTACTCCCTCCGTTCTTTTTTTAAATGTCCATTTTGATTTTTCATGCCGTACTTTGACTAACTAAACATAAAATTATAGATTAAATTAAAATATAAATATTATACCAAAACATTTGTATTGAAAATAACTTAAATACTCCGGGTACATTATTTTAATACATTCTGCTAATATAGTTTAAGATATTTTTTTTATCAAATGTTACAAAATGGAAAATTCAGTTAAGAGACACTTGCCCTAGATGGGACTAAAATTTATTTTCCACAATATTGTTTTTCTTCGTCAAATCTTAATTAATTTATTATTTACTCCATATATATGGTAAATGTACCTAAATGTTTTCATAACCTTAAATAATCTCTCCTTTTCTTCTTCTTCTTCTTCTTGCCGCTGCTTCTTTCTTCATCCCTACAACTATGCCTCTTCCAAAACTATCCTTGTTTTCTTCTTCTTCTTCTTCCCCTTCTCACCAAGCACCACCCCACCACCCATCCTCCATCCACACCACCACAACCACAATCCTCCCCCACAGCGTTGACGCCCCTCCATCTCCACACTTCACAGTGCTCCCATCTGCACTGTTCTGCGAACCCTGCCCACTCCTTAGGCATCTTCTTCCCCTCCCCCGTCCATCACCATTCCTTGATGCCATGGTTCGTGATTCGTGAAGGTCACCGCTACCATAGACTGGTTCTGCTGCTGTCATGGATTGGATAAGATAAGCGTGTTTATGGGTTGAAGGTGATGATGGGAAATAGGGATGGACGATAATGATCGGAAATAGAGGTGGACAATAATGATAGGCTGTGGAGATCGACAGTAATATAGACACTAATGGTGGACAATATTGTTGATTTACAATGGATAGTAATAGCATCACGGTGGATAGTTATGGATAGTAATGACATCAAGATGGACAATAATAATGATGGGAAGGCAAAGACTGTAATTGTAGTGGACAATTACAGTGATGGAAAGTCCGTTTGTGGCAGTATTGGTTGCGGCGACAGTTGCTAGGCCAACAACGATGGTTGTGGAATATGCTTGGTCAGGGCAGTATATTGTCGATCAAACGACACCATTGTGCCTTATCATGTATCATATTTGTTGTGAGATCATTCACGTGAAGGTCTCTCACTCTCTCTTGAATCTTGATCAGTACTTACCAAGTCCTCTTAGGTCTACCTTTTCTTCTATTGATCTTCTCTCCACATGTCCAAATCACCTAAGACACGTTTTCACCATCTTTTCTACAATAGGTGTCACTCCAACTTTAGTTCTCATATCTTCATTCATTATTCTATCGATACGCGTATGACCCCTTATCCAACGAAGCATCTTCATTTCCGCCATACTAACTTTGTGCTCATGTTCACCTTTTGTTGCCCAACACTTTGTTCCATATAATATAGATGGTCTAATAGCAGTACTTTAAACAATTTTCTTTAGTTTTAAAGGTAGTTTTTGTCACATATAAAGCCCGAAACGCTCTGCCATTTTGACCAACCAGCTTGAATTTTGTGGTTAACATCATCCTCTATTTCTTTCTCCATTGTCTTGAATGATACTGTAATGCCTTAAAAACTGGTCTATATTAATGCCTTTAATGGGAAACAACATTTGCTTACAGTTACATTGATATTAATTCATTAATATTTGGAGGATAAATAACTTTTAGTCCAATATGAGAAAAGTGACTTATGTTTGAGTCAAATTAGGGAAATTTCTCAAAAAAGAGTGGGGGAGAATAAGTGAACTTAGGGCATATGAACAAATTTTTGATAATATAAATTGGTTGCATTGGTAGTAACATCTTTCTACCTTTTGGGGGAGGTGTCGGCATTCGAAAGGTGTACTCCCTTCATTCGAGTAGAAATTAATTTTAATAGAATATACCTTTTAATTTGATAATGTATAATTATAAAGAGTCCTTAATTGTAAATATACCTAAAAATTGTATTTTGGTTTAGCTAACCGTTTCACTCATTTTTTATTATAAAAGTATTAAATATAACAATGCAATTAGATTGGCATGTAAAAAATTTTTACTCTTTAGTGAGACATCGGTAGTAGAAACCTCCATCTGTTTCTCCGGATCCAACCCTATTCCTCCCTTGCCCCAATCGCTTCTGCCTCCTGGACTCCAAAACTGCCAACATTCTCATATTTTCTTCTGCCACATAGAAAGCATTATTATCCCGTGCATGAAGCCAATCCCACTAATCCCAATCACTTGCCCAATAGAGACATCCACGTTGACCTTAATATGTCTAACAGGAGGCTGATCCCAGCACCTCACTAGCTTCATCCCACTTACCGCTTCCGGCCCAGGTCATCCCCTCTCCACATACTCATCATACGGTAGCTGAGCCTTCGTCCAGGCATCCGGGCAATGAGGGGAGAAACAGCCCCCCCACCCCCCACCCAAAAATGTGCATTTCAAACATTCCATAGGGTCTAACAGATGAAGAATGCAACTATGAGAGTGAAAAATCCAGACTGTTGAAGAGAGAGCATAGCTTCCAGTCACTCTAGAATCAACTAATGTTGGACGCATACCAACCCAATTCAGAGGCTCTCCACACTTGACCTGTGAACAAGCAGGTGACAAGGAAATGCAAAGCCGTTTCTCTTGTTTCACAACAATTTTTGTCCAAGTGCTAAGGCATGGGAGCACACCGTTTGCCACTAGCCAAATATGGTGGAAGTATTTCAGTTGTTTGCTACTAAAAAATTCACAATCAAAATTTTCTTCCGCGCATTCACTTTTAGTTAATCTATTCTTTACCTTAAAATTTCTTCAAAGCCGCAGCTACTGCTCCCCTCCATTTTCTCTTCCCTTCAGGGAAACCACCTTAGCGGTTTCCTCCCATCTTCCTCCCTTTTCAGAGACAGTTCTGCTCACTCACCATCTCTCTCGATTTTTTCTCATTCCTTGTGACTGTCTAATAAAAAAGAATAGTTGTTCCCTGACGTTATCTATGTTTTCTTCTCGTTCAGATGTGAAATTTTGTTTTTTATTGGTCTAGATGCTAGTCTTATACTCCATTTGTCTTGGTTGTCCCAAAATAAAATTCATACTTTTATTTTCTATCCAGTGAGGAACTAAGTCACTAATGATCTTTCTCTCTTTAAGCAAATTACATCCACATACTCTTTGCTTTTCAACATTTCTCTTAAACTTTTTATATTTAAACACTGAAATCTATTATGGTACGGAGAGGATCTTTTTAAGTTGTTTGCATGCATTACTCTCATTGATTGTGTGAAAAAGTTTATGTTCAGTGTATGGATTTGATTATGAATGTAAGATATTTGGAATGGTTAGAATGATACTGAATGATCCTTCCGTCTCGAAATAAACTTCACGCTCTTCCTTTCTAGCTGTTTAAGAAATACCTCACGTTTCTATCTTAACTAGAGAAATGAAATATATGGCTCACAATATTCTCTTTTTTCTACACAATTTTTAACCACTAACTTTTGCTTTTCTGATATCGGGCGGGTTTCGCAATCAGTCCCTAATCAACTACAGGTAGGAAACTTTAGGGTTTGTTTCCCTTCCTGCTGTTATCCAAGCAAACTGTCGTCTTCGGAACGTGAAACTGAAAATCTGTTTGTCATATAATCAACTTCAATCATCTCTGCTTTGATTGAAGCAGAACTTTGAAGCACCAGATTGAAAATCACCATATCGTTTCTAGAAAAAAGCGAGATATGAGTAAGGCAATGGAAGAGGGAGGAACTAAACCGGATGGAGTGAAGAAGCCGGTATTCCTCACGAAAGCCCAGAGAGAACAGTTGGCTCTCCAGCGCCGCCAGGAAGAAATTTCCGAGCAGAAGCGCCGTGCCGAGCTTCTTCTTCAACAAGCCGATCGCCCTTCTAATGAAGCAGCCTCATCATCTAAAGACAACAATAGGTCCTCTTTCGATCACGATCGCGACCGTGACCGGGATGGTTACCACCGCTCCTCCCGTGATAAGGAGAGGGACAGGGAGAGGGATCGTGAGAGGGATAGAGAGCGTGAAAGAGACAGGGAACGAGATTCAGAGCGTAGGAAGCGTGAAAGGGAAAGGGAGGATGATGCCAAGGAACGGGAGCGTGCTCGATTGGAGAAAGCAGCTGAACGAGAGCGTGAGAAGGAGCTCGAAGCCATCAAGGAGCAGTACTTGGGATCTAAGAAACCTAAGAAACGAGTCATAAAGCCTAGCGAGAAGTTTCGGTTTTCATTCGATTGGGAGAACACCGAGGACACCTCCCGTGATATGAACTCACTCTATCAAAACCCGCATGAGGCTAGACTGCTCTTTGGCCGCGGTCTTCGAGCTGGAATGGACAGGAGGGAACAGAAGAAGCTGGCTGCTAAGAATGAGAGGGAGATTCGAGAAGACATCCGGAAGAAGGATGGGACTGAGGAGACAGCGGTTGAAGCAGCTGCTCTCAGGAAAAAAGAGCAGGCAGCTGATTTGTATGACACATTTGACATGAGGGTGGATCGCCACTGGTCTGAGAAGAAGCTTGAAGAAATGACAGAGAGAGATTGGAGGATCTTTAGGGAGGATTTCAACATCTCCTACAAAGGTTCAAAGATTCCCCGCCCCATGAGGAGCTGGAAAGAGAGCAAGCTAACCACGGAGCTGCTCAAGGCTGTCGAGAGGGCTGGCTACAAGACCCCATCTCCCATTCAAATGGCTGCAATTCCCCTTGGACTTCAGCAGAGGGATGTGATTGGTGTTGCTGAAACTGGTTCTGGTAAAACTGCAGCTTTTGTTCTTCCTATGTTGACTTATATCTCAAGGCTTCCTCCCATGAGTGAAGAAAATGATGCAGAGGGACCATATGCCGTTGTTATGGCGCCCACACGAGAACTAGCCCAACAGATAGAGGACGAGACTGTTAAATTTGCGCATTATTTGGGCATCAAAGTTGTTTCCATTGTTGGTGGGCAGTCTATTGAAGAACAGGGTTTGAGGTTTCGACAGGGTTGTGAGGTTATCATCGCGACCCCCGGTCGACTCATTGATTGCCTGGAGAGACGATATTGCGTTCTCAACCAGTGTAATTATGTCGTGCTTGATGAGGCTGACCGTATGATTGATATGGGTTTTGAACCACAAGTTGTTGGTGTGCTGGAGGCCATGCCATCTAGCAACTTGAAGCCAGAGAACGAGGATGAAGAGCTTGACGAGAAGAAGATTTACAGAACCACATATATGTTCAGTGCTACCATGCCCTCTGCTGTAGAAAGGCTTGCAAGAAAGTACTTGAGGAACCCAGTTGTTGTTACCATCGGAACAGCTGGGAAGGCAACCGACCTCATCACCCAGCATGTCATAATGGTCAAGGAATCTGAGAAGTCTTATAGGTTGCAGAAATTACTGGATGAACTTGCCGACAAGACAGCTATCGTGTTTATCAATACCAAGAAACAAGCTGATTTTGTGTCCAAGACCTTGGACAAGGCAGGCTACAAAGTGACCACATTGCATGGTGGCAAGTCACAGGAACAAAGGGAAATAAGCCTGGAAGGGTTTCGAACAAAGAGGTATACCGTTTTGGTCGCAACAGATGTGGCTGGACGTGGGATTGATATACCGGATGTGGCACATGTGATTAACTATGATATGCCCAATAGTATTGAAGGATACACCCATCGTATCGGGCGAACCGGGCGTGCTGGTAAGACCGGTGTCGCGACCACGTTTTTGACACTTCAAGACAGCGAAGTCTTCTATGATCTTAAACAAATGCTCATCCAAAGCAACAGCCCCGTCCCTCCTGAACTTGCTAGGCACGAAGCTTCGAAGTTCAAGCCAGGAAGTATTCCCGACAGACCTCCCCGAAGGAATGACACTGTTTTTACTCATTGAACTTATTCTAACAGTTTTACAGTAAGATACTAAGGAGAATTGGATGCATGACCTGGTGGGACCCCCCTTTGCTTCTGGTAATATATGTCACTGGCTTTTTTTTTGTTTTTTTAATTGATGTTAGTTTTGTTTTTAATTCATATGAGATTGGAAAAAAAGTGTAATGACTTTCAATGACTTTGAGGACTTAGCTCTTTCATCCTGGTCTTGAGAACTATGCTTAGAATGTTCATCTTGCAACTTTACAATTATGGGTAAGCATGCAATATTAAATCCATCTTGTGCCTATATGATCTTTTACCTAAACCCATAATAATCTTTACCATTGTCCCTATATGATATACTACTGTACTTGTTTCTCTTTCTTGTAGATCTCAAGCGAGCCCCATTTAGGAATCGAACAGTAGAGCACAAGGCATTCGAGACCACTTATGCTGTGGTTAATTTCATGACAAGTTTTTTATTTCCAACACAATGCTTGAAGAAACATATTTTTTATTATTTCTGTAAACAACCAGAAGAACAACCCAAGTGAATCCCCAAGAGTAGGGTCTGGAAGAGTGTTTTTGTAATTTGATTCTATTTAATTAGATGATCTAGAATATATTTTTGCACATTGGAGTAAAATTTAGCACAAATTTTAAAACAAAAACACACCCCACACAGAATAAAATAGAATCCAAAATATGTTTTGGCACAAGACTTTTTTCTCATTTTAAGGCTGGTCTTAAAAAATTCATTGACCAACTAGTCAGACTTATAGAAAAAGATTAAAAGTAATCAAAGGATATAACAACTTTGGCCCTCATAATATAAGCAAAGATATGCTTGTTGGGGAGCATGTATTGATATCCAATTTGAAGCTACCACTATCTCCATTTTCTGCCTTGAGATAAAAGCATGAGGTTCTTGTATTTACTTTGACCAAATCTCACTCTTTATTGATCATTTTAAAATTAAAACTCAATTTACATCCTCCCATATAAATAATTGTTTGGATCCTAGAATGTAAATCATCCTTATTTTTTTTTCTAAGTTGCTTTTCCCAAATTGTTGGCCCAAAAGCATAAGGTTCTTGTATTGTACATACGGCAAACAAGTTTCACTTCTTATTGACTAATTTAAGATTATTTGCTTCCTTTATTCTATTGGGTTGCCATAATTTTTTATTCTATTTTAATTAGAATTCTTCCATATATTCTCGATATATATATTGATGTAACCCTTATTATTTAATAATAAAGACAAATTCTTTCGTAATCCGTAAGTCAACATTTATTTTATGAACCATAGTATATATAAATATCATGAAACCATTGAGCTTTTTGCAAAAAAAAAAATTCCATGTTAGCCCATAAAAAATATGTGGGACCTTAAAATTACAAAAACTCAACTCTTCAATGAGATTAATTATTATCAAATCATATCGAACATCTTTAATTATTATCCGGACTAGTCGGGAGGATCCTAAAATACTTCCTCCATCCCAAAATGTAAGTAACATTACCCTAAACGAAGTAATTTTTTGAATTTTTTCAATCCATTTTATTTAAGGAATGGTTTACAAATAAAAAATAAAACTTACATATTTAAAAACCACGTCAAAAGTTCTACAAAACAAGTGGTGACAAGAACATTTTATTTTATCAAATCATCAATGAAAACACAAAAAATAAATAAAAGTTCTCGTGATTTTTAAATGTTGCTTACATTTTTTTGATGGAGGGAGTATGATTCATCCATTTTTTGTTGGTAGGTTGAATTGCCTGTCCCAAAAAGACTCAGCAAAAAAAGGCAATCATCATCATGGAATTTTTGTCCTCCCAATTCGGATCTGTCTTTTGTGAAGTAAGAGTGCTGTGGGCTAAAGGTGTGATCAAGAGTGGATGAACCACCCATCTGGTTTCCATGGAACTTTTATTGCTTTTTTTTTTCCTTCTTGACAATCTGGCGGCCTTCTTTCTCTATTTCATATTCACTCTAACCTTTTGAAAATCCTACCTCAAAAATCAACGACATGATCGTGGCTTTCCCATATAGAAATAAATTTCACCATTATTTATCACGATATATTATGTGTAACTTTTTAATTTACATTGTTTCTTTACTTATTTTGTGTGACTTTTCACAAATTGAAACTTATGTTTTTATAATACTCCGTGCTTTATTACCTCGAAGTACAACTCGAATTATACTTTTATTTGTTTAAAAAGGCGAACTATGATTAAGTTTTTAAAAAATCTGTAACTAAGTAATGCACATGTTGAATGTATAAAAATATTTGTGCACCAACTTTTAATCACGTACGTCGCTTGTTTGTTATAAATAAAAATATTTTCAAAACGTCGAAGTATTATGGAATGGTTTGGCATTAGTATGACATGGTGTCATCCCGTTACCGAAAGACCTGGTACCGAATGGTTTATTAGGCATAAAACCCAAACCATACTGAACCGTTTGAATAGTAATGATATGGTACAGGTCCTTTAAAAATACCACCGTCACCGACCGTGTCCACACCTACTTTTTAGGATGCAAGAAGTATATATTTTACGTTTAACACTTTTTTTTTTGAATTCATGAAGTGAGCTTAAACATTTATTAGGAATATTATGAGACACTAGTATATTGTGTACGAAGTATATGTTTGTTTAGTCGGGATATATATTTTTTGTAGCGGCAATGCGAGAGGTTTAACCAATATGTTAGCTCCCTGTGTGTAACAGAAACGGCAGCCTAAAGCCAAACTAAGATGATAATAGTTCCTCCGTCTCATAAAATCTTTGTTTTGTTTGTTTAGAAGATTTAAGGAATAGTTTACTTTTGTATTAATTTTTCCAAATTATCCTTGATGTCATGTACTCCCTCTGTCCCATTTTAAATTGTCTGTTTGCCTTTTTTTTCCGTCCCAAAATAAGTTGTCTGTTACTTGTTATCGTAAACTTTTATGAGTAAAATACCTAAACTACCCCAAAAATAAGTCACTCTTCTCCACCTTATCTTCTCATTCATCGTCATCCCTCCTAAAAAGTAATGACAATTTCGAAAAATCAACTCTATTTTTTATTTTCCTTAAATTTGCCCAAAAGTCAAAACAGACGATTTAAAACAGGACAGAGGGAGTATAAAAGTAGAATCTGGCGAGTAAATCATTAATGAATATATGTGATGTGATAGAAAGCATTAAATTTAAAGAGGGAAAAAGTGATTTTTTTTTTAAAACAAAAAAGATATGGCGTGTGTGAGGAGGAATGAAGGGAGTATAAAAAGGGAGAATAATGCATGCACAATTCCACACCCACGTACAGAGCACAAATAGTAAGTCTTGAGAATAAGTTTTAATTTAGTCAAAAAGTGCATATGGCCTCCACAATTGCCTTCCATCACATGGAACCCGGTTACTCTACCACTTCCATGATAATAATAGTTATCTAATCCAATCTAATCATATACTACCTCCGTTTCTCAAAACAATTCCCCTTTTGACTTTGGGGAAGAATAGGGAAGTGTTAAATTGTAGTTGACTTTCCAATTTTGCCCTTGATGTGATGGCTAAAAGTAAGATGTGATGGTTTAGTTGTTAGTGAAAAAGTATGATGTGATAGGTAGGGTATGAAAAAATAGGGGTAAAAGTGGTTTTTTAATAGAAAAGGGAAGTGTTTTAAGAAAAACAAAAAAAATAAAAGAGAAAGGGTTTTAAGAAACGAAGGGAGTAATAAAGAGTTTATAAACTTTCATATTATTGTACATCAATCTATCAAATATACTCACAATAATGGGAGATCCATCACTTTTGACTAAAACGCAAATAAGACCAATACGAATTTTGGCAAGCTCCACGCACTTAACAAAAGCTCAATATAATCAAATTAGTTTACTATTTAAAATAAAATCACAAATTTTTTTGTTTCTTAATTTTATTTTTTATTTATATACAAATATTTAAATAAAACGAATTTAAAAAACTTAAAAGTTTGTTTTACTTATACTAGCAAATATTTTGGAATGGATGGAGTACATTATTAAATTTATTTACTTAGAAAAGAAAGAAGGAAAAAAAAGCAAAATAATATAACTCAAAATTAATGATTAAAGTAAACATTCATTCAATTTTATAGTTATGGTCAACCAAATAGGCGTCATGAGAGAGTTGTACCATAGAGGTAAGGACTAAGGATAAATGTAATCAATGAAGACCATTGGCTGTGACCTAGAATGGTTGGGCCTTGTCTAATCCCGTTATTTGATTGTATAAATAGACCTCTTTGTTCAACAAAGGGGGATCAAATTTCAAAATATTCAAGATAATACATTGAGCTTTCTCTCTCTACTATTTTATTACGCATATCTTTAGAATCCATCAAGTGGTACTCTCGTGGAGAGGGTTGAACACATCAAAACTTCACCCTCCCTTAATATCAGAAAATTACCAAATTCACGTGGAGACTAGCTTTTGTTACTCACGACGCTGCCCAAATCATGGCTCCCGTCAATAAATGCAACATAGAGGCTGAGCATGTTAGCGCGCAAAAAGATTCGGCGTCTTCCCAAAGAGGCTCGATAGACCTCTGGGACACCCTCAGCGGCCGTTGAGGGGTGACCTACGTAATTGCCTGTCTAACCAGGTTGCGCCATTGGAAAGTAGTTCCCCCTGGTTTCCAATTAACAACACTGAATTGTATAAGAGGCAGTTCTAGTAAACACTTTGGGAGGAGCTTTGGTGGACTATCAAGGTGTGTTCGTGGGATTGTTCTATCTTTAGAAATCATAGACAACATTAATTCGTATGCATAGCCAATCGTAGATTTGATTATGTGAACTATTTGATTGTAATTGAGATCCTATCCCAAACTTTGTGATAATAGTTAGAGTTGATTTAAGCATGAGATAGGTGTTGAAAAATAATTAGACGCGTTGGAGTCCAAATAAGAATATGGTCTTATCGTAATTTCTAGGTTATAATGTGTTCTAGACCTTGAAACTTTGTTCTGTTTCTCATCTGTGCACTAGGGGGTACTGACACTGGATGGTAGTTTCGTACCGTCTAATGGTAACCGGCTACCGCCATAGGCGTGGTTTCGAGCTGAAGATGTTTTCGGATGGTAGGATGGTACTGGCTGACTATACCAAAGTATCTTCTGGAAGTACCAATGTACTCTGAAGTTTAAGTGTTCTCTTAAGTCTCTGTTGAGTGTCACGGATTGATTTTGAGACCTTGTGTGCTGCATGACGATAAGTGGAAGGTGTTTACAGCCGACATTAAGTCGATATTTGTATTATGTAAAAAATTATCTAATTATTGTTATCTCTCTTTTTATATTCTAAATATAATATGGCTTAAATGAATATTGTGAACTGAGGTTGTTGTTACTATGGACCTGAACATGTAAAGTAATTTAATAATATAGGTTACTTAAAGGAACTCTAGGAATACCCTACTCTAATCGAGATTGTAAGTTGCCAATAGATTGTAGAGCCTTGTGGATTTAGTGTCTGGTGACGTTCGGGTAAAGATGTACGTACATGGAATCTGGGATCTAATCTGTAATTGGAGGTTTTACCCAACCTCCACCGTAGGTACCGGGTTGACCAAAATTATGGTTGTAAGCAGTGGTTCTAGGTCATAGATTAGACTTAATTCATGGTTGTAAGTGGTGGCTCTATATCCTAGAACAAGATTATAGATGATGATGTGTTTGACTTAGTCTAGTGTAGGTTATAGAGAAAAATTCTAATGAAGAGCTTAGACAATAGCTTGATGTGTGAATTTATACGATGTTGTTATGTGAACTACATGTGCATGAAATACTATGAATGATTACGTATGTTGAATTAATCTTATGTATGCCTTCTATTGATAGAACCTCTCAATCAGCGTGAAAGCTAAGCGTGTAGCTAGTTTGTTTTACTTGCTACACGTAGGTACTTTGTTTTACTTGCTACACGTAGGTACTATAAATGGTGAATAAAGAAACAATACTGAAGGGCAACATGGATGAGGAGATGCATATGAGTGGATGCATGGCTAAGGAGTTTATTTGATTAAATATTTTTTTTTGAACAAAAGCGCATAATATTTCATTCACCTCAAACAGTAAACACATTACAACCACTAGTCAGTAAGCATCACACTATGAGCTTCCTACTGCAAATAAATACATTTAAGCTTATGATTAACAAACGTCTTCATGTGGAATTTGATCCACTCAACGCTTTCGGTCGAAGAGATAACCTTCTGTTGTTTGATCTTTCAGTTCCGCGCCCTCCAAATTGCATAGCAGTTTGCAGCAAAGGCAGCCATCACCACTTGCCTCTTCTTTCTCCCTTTGATCTTTTTGAGTTCTCCCATCATTTCCTCATCATTGGTGGCTTCCCATCTTTGTTGAATCCATTGCCCAATCGCTTCCTTGACTTCATTTATATAAGAGCATGTATAAAAAAGGTGTGTTTTATCTTCTTCACCATTTGGACACAAAACACACTTAGTATCAATCTCCATGAACTTGTTCAATCGAACTTTGGTGCTGACTCTATTCTTCCAACCAAGCAATTGAAAAAACTGGTGTTTCGGGATGGATAGTTTATTCCATACAATATTGTAAGCTTTGAATTCTGTAGTAGGAGCTATTAGCCAAGCGTACCCTTTTTGAGTATCATATGCTGAATTCGTGTTCATACCTGAAAATTGCTTCCTATTGTTCAAGATTTTCCTCAAATACTAGCACATTCCAGCCTTTGGTTGAATGTCCCAAATATTATGTAGTTTCAAGTACCTATTGTGAATCCATTTGACCCACAATATGTCCTTTTTATTTGCTATATCCCATAAAAGAGCCTGATTGCAAGCAGAATTCCAGTGCACCAGGTTCTTGAAGCCTAATCCCCCTTCTCGCTTAGGTTTGCATACATCTTCCCATCCTACTAAAGGAGTTTTGTGATAATCAGCGCTTGAGCCCCAAAGAAAAATTCTGCATAAACTTTGGACCTTCTGCATTACCTTACTAGGAATGATAAACATTTTGCACCAGAAAGACAGAATCCCAATCAAAACAGTATTAATTAATTTGCACCTTCCTGCATATGAGAGGTGTCTTGAAGTCCAAACAGTTATCTTCATTGTCAGCTTCTGGACTAAGGCCTCACACTCCCTTTCTGAGATTCTGCTAGGTGTAATTGGTCCACCCAAATACTTAAACGGGAAGGTCCCTTTGGCCATTTTTGACTCTCTCAGTATATGTGCAGCAACCTGGTCTTGAACTCCACCCAGCACCACCTGGGATTTAAAGTAATTAACTTCTAAACCAGTCACATCTTTGAAGTGTTCTAGGCATCTGAGAATAGTTTTGATCGAGTCTATTTCAGCCTTGCAAGCCACAATCAAATCATCAGCAAATGTCAGGTTAATGATTTTAAGATCTTTGCACATAGGATGGTATTTAAAGTTGCTCTTCTCAGCATAATAGGACAGTGTTCTTATCAGGTATTCCATAATTAGGGTGAAAAGAAGGGGAGATATAGGGTCCCTTTGCCTAATACCCTTGCCACCCTTAAAATACCCAACACTCTCACCATTCAGAAGAAGGGAGAATGAGGTGGTTGAGATGCAGTAATACACCCACTCAATGTACAGCTTAGGGAATTTAAGGGCTTCCATAATCCCTATAATTGCCTTCCAGCTAACTGAATCGTAAGCCTTTTTTAGATCTATCTTCATCATGCATCTAGGTGAAACACTTTTCCTGGTGTATCCTTTGGCAAGTTCATGGCAAAGGAGAACATTATGGACCAGTAATCTCCCTTCTACAAAGGCACCTTGGTTAAGATTAATAATACTTGGAAGTATTGTTTTCAATCTATAGCATAGAATCTTTGAAATTACTTTATATATTACGTTGCAGCAAGCAATCGGCCTGAGGTCATTTGGTGATTCTGGGGCTTCTACCTTAGGGATAAGGACCACATTAGTAGCATTCAGCTGTTTTGGAAACTCCCCTTTTAGAAAAAAATTCATTGACAGCCTTGATCACCAAATCTCCTACAATGTTCCAGTTCCTTTTAAAGAAACCACTGTTGTACCCTTCAGGCCCTGGACTCTTGCTGTTGGGATTAGAGAACAGTGCCTCTTTAATCATTTCAAGGGTTACAGGTTCCACGAGTTGAAGTTGTTGTACTATGTTTAAACAAGGGCCCTTTTGGATAATATCTTCTTGGATGGGATCAGTCCAGGATATGTTCCCAAGCATCCTTTGGAAATAGTTCACCATCACCTCTGCCACTTTGCCCATACCTTCCACCTTCTTTCCATTCTCATTGGTGATAACACTAATCTGGTTATGGATTGATCTTTTCTTAACCCATGCAAAAAAGAGCCTTGAGCTTTGATCTCCTTCAGTAATCCAGCTTTGCTTGGCCTGCTGAGCTTTCATTAGGTAGGAAGCTTTTTGTTTAGTCAACAGTTCCTTCAAGCATTCCTTCTCCTTATTTATCAAGATTGGGTTATTTATATCCTCTTTAATTTTCCTTTGGATCTCTTTAAGTTCCTCTCTGAGGATATCACACTGCTAATGAATAGGCTGAAACTTTTTGTTGATCTGCTTAAGAGGTTGCTTAAGATCTTTAATTTTACTGATCAACTGAAACATATATCTTCCTGGGCTGTCTCTTCTCCACACACCCTGTAGTACCTTTTTGAATTGGGGGTCAAGTTCCCACATATCACAATATTTAAAACCAATGTTCCTTCTTCTATTATCATGAGTTTTTAACAAAAGGAGGCAGTGGTCAAATATTCCTTCTTCAATTATCCTAACCTTGTCACCAAATTGGATCATCCAGTCCATGTTTGACAGGGCTCGATCCAATCTAGACATTATTCTGTTGCCAGGTCCTTGCTTGTTGCTCCAGGTATAATAGCTGCCCTCCCAAGGAATTTCTTCCATCCCACATGCTAGCATGTAGTCTTTAAAATCTTTAGTCTCTTCTTCAGTAATATTATTTCCCCCAATTCTGTCATTCAATCTAAGTACAACATTGAAGTCTCCAATGATACCCCATCCAGTGTTGGTATTTCCAGCAATTCTTTCCAGTTGGGTCCAAAGCCTTTTCCTGTCTTGTGAATTATTATGGCCATAGACAAAAGTAAGATGAAAAATACTGTTGTTCCCAATGATTCTTCCTTGGCAGTGTACGAGCTGGTCACTCCATTCGAGAATAAGAACATCATATTGACTTTTATTCCAAACTACCCATATTCTGCCCAAAGGATGAGCATCTTCATTAATGAAAGAGCCCCATCCTGGGACTAATTTATTCTCAAACTCCGTAACCTTATTCCCTTTTATTTTGGTTTCAAGAAGCCCAATCCATCCTAACTCAAATTTATTGATTATTCTCTTTACTTCTTCCTGTTTTGAGGGACTGTTCAGTCCCCTAATATTCCAACATCCTATCATGTTAGAAAGGGATAGTGCCCACTATATGGGGCTTTCTCCATAATCTTCATTAGCTCTGCTATTTGATTAAATATTTCTGTTTAAATGTATTACTTTCTTTTTAGACAAGAATCCAAAGTTATATTTTGAATTAAGTACTTAAGCTTATGCATTGTTTTGTTTACTCTGATGGATATTTAAATATTATTTTTTGAATTAAATATTTTAAATTGTTTTGAAAATTATTATGTTTGGATGTCGAACTAGTGATAACCCCGTCCGATAGTCCATGTATTTGAGTTACGCAAGTTGAGATGTTACCCAAATTGATTAACTGAGCGTGATTGGACCAACTAGGCCAGGCGAAACAATTAACGACGGATTGTAATTCTATTTTTAATATAATTTCATCAATCATTTGATAAAATAAAATGACCTTATTACCACTTTTGAGTTTTGATGTATTTTTTTAAACATATTTGTTTAATTAAAGGTCACGTTTTATTTTTATTGATTCGAAAATCATTGCAATCAAATATAATAAACAAAATAGAGTTTTCTTTTGGGAGCGGGTAAGTATATCTTTTATCTTAAATTTATATTTTAAGTTTTGACATGCGGTTGAATTGGTAATTTGAACAAGCCAAGAAACCACAATGAGGAAGAAA